AAAATCAATAAAAAATATATTAAAAAAAATATATATATATATATATTTGAGTACTTCTTTGGAAAAATATTTTAAAATGAAAGTTGAGAGGTTACTTTTCTTAAGATTATAAGCTAAAATTCAAGATCTTCCAACTGAAAGTGCTGGTTAAAAGAACTATTTGTAACAGGTACCCTGTGAGCAGGAAGCTTGGAATGGCATCAATGTCGGTAACTGTCTCGTAATTTTGATGGACCTTGTAGGACTTGTTGGAAACAGCTCTGAAAAGGGAGATAAAATATTAGGCCCAGAAGCTAGCACCCTAATTCCCGTGTAGCATGGGCTATATTATCCCACAGAGACCTGGATTACTACCCCAGACTCCAAAATAATTCTAACAATCTTACCCCTACCCCTTGTGGTCTAACCTCTCCGTTATTCTCTTGAATTTAGAGCACCTGAACTCTGGCTGCCACCATGAACTGATAATGAACTGGCCCCCAAACCCTCATGCACTCATCTCCCATTACTGGGGCTGTCTCACTTCCAAAGCCACCTGACACCTTCCTTCAGGCATATTTTGAGGCCTATACCTGACTTGGGTCCTACCATAGAAGGTTTTAAGATAATCATATTTAAATCCTGACTCTCCTAATGAGCTTGTGCTTATTAATAAACAGGCAATTTTCCTTAATGTTTCTTGTGGCTCAACCATTGCATATATTGTTCTGCAGTAAAGATAGATTAGCCTCTACATGTTGGTTTCATTTTATACAATTTCTTTAAATGAGAAAAAATATACAAAGGATTTAGTACATGTACACAGTAGACAGTCAAAAAATAGTAGCTATTGCCTGTCTCTGAAAGTAGTACTGTGTTACTATTTACCAATCCATGAGTATATTTCATGTTCCTCCTAAATGATTAACTATATATGTCACACAGAAAACCTTTGTGAAATTCAGGATTTCTCATAGACCCTGGGGTAAGAGGTCTATGTTTTAACTTTTGCTGAGGAATAACAATAGGCACAGTCAGTCATTTTTCCCCAGGATACAGGGGGACGGATAGGTTAAACTAGGGCTCAAACTGGCCTCACAGGTCTAAATTCTGTATGACCCAGGAGAGAATAAGGAAATCCAGAGATGGAGGACATTAATAGCAGCATTAAGTACGTCCCTCACAGATCCTCCCGTCTCCAGGTCTAGTCCATTGCCGAAGACCTCAGTTGATTCCAGTTTTACTAGGGATCATGAAAAAAGTCGTGACTAGGATAAGTTTTCCAGAGATTGGAAGGTGGCACTGTTTTCCTTCTGAGTGTCCTCTAGATTATGTATCCCAAACTTTCAGGTACTTTCCAAGTACAGATCAGACCCCTTGTGAAGAGCTTCCTTTTACCTGGCTTGGTCCAAGCTGACAGTCCTCTGCAAAAGAAAACTCCAGCTGAGACGGACTAGGTGATGGTGACGATATGGAATCTGCAGAGGTGCTGGTGACCAGTTCCCCTAGCGCGTCGACTTGTCTCCTCAAGCTGTGTAAAGTGCCCTCTGTCTGCTGCTTCCCTTTGATTAACACTTCTGCTTGCTTAGACATACAGCGTCGAAGTTGAGCCTGAAAGTGTTAGGGTGAAGTTTACAGTTTTATATATCCAGAACTATTATGCAGTAGTTTCCTCACATTTAACATTTGATAGGCAAATTTGACTATCATAAAGTAGGAATGGCTGCTGAAAATGCTTGTCCTAAAAAAAAAATTTAAAAAATCTAGAGGTACACACTGCTCTCAGTGTGTGTAAACATGTACTGTTCTGTGTTTTCATTAACTGGGCCTTTTACTCAGTCTATTCTCTCTACTGTAATGATGCTAAGGATTCCAGCCTCCCCATTAAATTACTGCTCATCTCTCTCTTCCTTTTCTTCCCAGACTCAGAAGATTGGTTTCTACTCAATGTCTTCAGTGTCTCTCACAATGTAGTTAATCCTCAACCCCAGATTCCTTTCTGGCTTTTCCAATGCTGTACCTTTGAGATGATTCTCTCAAAGCCTACAGCAGCACTGTCCAACAGAACTTTGTGTGATGAAGGCAATGTTGTCTGTCTGTGTTGTCCAATATAGTAGCCAGTAGTCACATGCGGCTGTTGAGAGCTTGAAATGTGGCAACCGAAGAACTGAATTTTAAACCTGATTTAATTAGAATGGATTTACATATAAATACCCACTTGGGGCTGAAGGCTTTTGGAGGTCAAGGGCCTCCCTCAATATACAAACAGCTCCCTCTCAGCCCATGATATATAGCTGTTCTCCAAAGGTGCATTCTGTCCTCCTGTTCTACTTCACATTTTTCAACTCTCAACTCCAAATCTTTAATTCAACTCTGACCACTAAGTCTAGACTCCTATTCTCAGCTGCCTACAGGCAGACATGCTTCCCTGGATGAGTCACAAGGCCTTGAAACTCAACATGCCCTGAGCCAAACAACTTCTTATCTGACACCCAAGCCTACTTTTCCAGTATTACCAATCTTTCCCCAAAACATTGGCCTCTGAGCTCCTTATTGCTTATCATTGTATCTCTATTTCCTGTCCCAAATGCTTAGGTTCTGTCAGTTTGGGCTGAGGCAAAGCAGCACTGTATAGGTTAAATAATGCTGGGCTTAACATCAGAATTCACGGTTTTGAATACTGACTCTGCTGTTCACTGTGTGATGCAACTTCTCTGAGCTCCCACCATGTAATCTACAAAGCTGCTGTGAGTACTGCAGTAGAGCCCATGTGACAGCAGTATGTGAATGCAAGCAATTAGCCTCCCCCCTCCTCAGTGTGCAAGTAACTCATGCTATACATGTCGTTTGTAAAGGGCAACCTTGAGCCGATCTTCACGGTGCCGCAGTTTCTCTCGCAGCGCTTCTCCACGCCAGTGTTCATCCTTTTTCAGAAGGAAAGGGAAACACCAGTCACCACACACCACTATCAGTAACCAACCAGCATTTCCCCCTACACTCCCCACCATCAAGCCTGTTTTCAGCTAATCCAGGGGAGGTGGGAGACAAGTTATTCTTCTACAAAGTCCAGAGAATGGAAGGATAAACCCTTACCATTATGTGAACCTGGGAAAAATTAGGTTTTTCTTCCAAAGGTGTTGGTCTCTCACTCATGGTGAATGGAAAATTCTCCTTCAAGCTTTCCAACCCTCCTCCTAGGTTTTCGTTCCTTTCCAAAATAGCTTCCAGATCTGCTGGTAGCTCTGGAAGAAACTGGTTGAAATTCTTCAGGCTGGTTCTGATTTCATCTTTCACCTCAGATTTAAGTGTCCTCATTGCTTCGCTGATTTCCATTTGTCTTCTCTCCAAATCGTTTTGGTTTGCCATCTAAAGAGCAAGAGTCAAATACCATTGGTTAAGTTTGGGAATTAACTGGAATTAAACTGTTTAATGTGTCGAGTTTAAAGATCTACAGATGTCAAAAACTTGTGCTTTTTCAACTACTGAAGTATCTATAAGCTACCATGTAAACGATTTTACTGGCATTTTGAGTGGAGCAGCGATAGAGCGTCAACCTGCAGAATGAAGGGTCTCAGGTTCGATTCCGGTCAAGGGCACATGGCCGAGTTGTGGGGCTTGATCCTCAGCAGGGGGCGTGCAGGAAGCAGCCAATCAATGATTCTCTCTCATCATTGATGTTTCTATCTCTCTCTCCTTTCCCTTCCTCTCTGAAATCAATAAAAATATATATATTTTTAAAAAGCATAGGCACAGTGTTCCTTGATGATATATTGCTCCGTAGAAGTTAGTCTCTCTGGAGTTAGATAGAGCTGGATTTTAATCTCATTGCCAGTAAACATTACCATATGAGTTAGGGCAAGTTACTTCTTAACCTGTTACATCATTTATACATTAAGATTATACCTTGCATTAAAAAATATGAGAATTTATATGAACCACCTTAGTGGTATCCAATAAATGGCAACTACGATAATTAAATAGCAAGGAGAAAATGACCATTTACTGAAACAAGTCATGAGTGATCTAGATTATAAATGTTAATGCTGAAAGGGGCCTTAGAAGTGATCTGGTCAAATGCTTTCATTTTATGGGTGAAGAATCTGGTGGTTAAACAGTTTCCTCAGGTGTTACAGACTGTGTTGAATACCTGAGACTACTCTATGTGGCTCTCTCCATAAAGAGCTCAGGGAAGATAATATAGCCATACCCACTGCTAATTGCCCTTCCAAGTTAGCAGAGACTTGGAGCTTTGAAATAAAACATCTTTTTCTTCAACCAAAGGGAGTGTATATTGGGGGTGGGGGAGAGTTTGGAGACACAAACTCTCTGTGGTTGTCCAAAGGATAAAGCATGGCAGGTCAAATGAGTAGCCCTAGTAGCCGACTAGCGAGTCCTGGGTGGCCCAAATGCTGACACTGGTGAAGAGACACCAGGGGCATCTAGGGGGAGACTAGTAGTCTATGCAGGAACTACTCTCACACCCTCTGCAGGGTAATGCAAGTTCCCCTGGAGTCACTCTTTCTTACCCAGGGTGGTCAGCTCTTACAGACTTGTTTCTGACATAAAATCTAACATTTCAACACACTTCTTTGGGACATGATAAAGCTTTATGCTGAAGAACTTCATTTTTCTCTCAAAAATAACATATAAAGCTTGATGAATTTTAAAAGTATATTTTGGACTAGTAAGTTTTTCTTGTGAAGGTATATTTCTATATTTTAAGACTACAAAAACAAATATGACTTAACATTCTATATATTCAGCTTTTCACAATTTTCACCAAGAAATACTCCTCTTGCCCTAACCGGTTTGGCTCAGTGGATAGAGCGTCGGCCTGCGGACTCAAGGGTCCCAGGTTCGATTCCGGCCAGGGGCATGTGCCTTGGTTGCGGGCACATACCCAGTGGGGGGTGTGCAGGAGGCAGCTGATCGATGTTTCTCTCTCATCGATGTTTCTGACTCTCTAGCCCTCTCCCTTCCTCTCTGTAAAAAAAATCAAAAAAAAATATTTAAAAAAAAAAAAAAAAAGAAATACTCCTCTTAACAAGCTATTTGAGAAGCGAAGTCTGTCTGAGGCCACGGGCAGTGAGCGTGCCTCCCGAGGCCCCCTGTCTGGCGGCCAGCCAGGCCTCCTAGACACACCTGTTTCTTGAGTTCCGTGTACTCATGCTGCATCTGGTTGAGCTCCTTCATCAGGCGCCTGGCCCGTTCGTGGTTGTCCTGGGCCACCTGCTCGATTGTTGCCATTTCCTTCTGCATGCAGCTGTTCTCTTGCTTTTGCTCCTAGCACAGAAGGAGGAAAATGACCCTGTGGTCCAATAAATGGAGATGCCGTTGCTGACTTACACACTCACTAGCTCTGTAACTCATTTTCCATCTGGGCCACAGCTTATCTAGCTGTAAAATGGGGGTAATTCTACCTGCCTTCTTTAGCAGCTGTGGTAGAGCTGGGAGTACAGACATACTCAGAGTCTGTTAGCCCAAAGCCTGAATCCTAGGTCTGCAACATTACTTTTGATAAGTTACTTTCTCTTTCTTAGCCTCCATTAATAGTCTGTAAAATGGGAACAATGATTTCATCATCATAGGGTTACCGAAAGGGTTAAAATTTAGATATCTGCATATTTATCTTTATAATCATGTTACCCTATCATTAGTTACAAGGGGATCTATCACCTTTTCCGAAACACAAGTGATTTAAAGTTACATTCACACCACAGGGGTTCATTAATTCCTTCAGAGAGTGTTAGAGAAACCCATTTCTGTGACAGTCCCTGTTGCTGCCCATCTGCCTCCACCCACCATAAACTGTTTTGAATTCATCTGTGTGTCACCTCCCAAAATTTATTTCAGGGTTAAAAGCATGCTAGATTGGGCTTCTTGGTTTTAGGATAATGATTAATTAAAGCTACTGGTAATGTTGACCAAAAGGGCAGGATGAGGAAAAGCTATGAGCACTGACTGCAGCCAGTAGCAGCTTGCCAGCTGAGAGTGCTCTCTGCTTTGTGCTGACATTGTCTCGTTTATAGGACCATCTTTCCAGCCAGGGCTGCAGCCCAGACGCAGACAACATCTACCATCAGCTTCAAGAACAAATTATGCAGAAATACACCAAAAGCAATAGTTGGGCTGACAGGTAATCTATTTTTTCTATGTTGAAACAATGTTAGTTTAAACATTTAAACGCATCATTTCTTCATAAACTGCCAGGGTGGCAGGTACTCACGAGAAGGTTTTTCTCCAGTTGGCTCCGCTGGATCTTAAGTGCTTCCTTCAGGCTGAGAACCTGTTTCTCGGATTTCTTTCTTTCCGTCAAGAACTGGTTCCGCAGGAGGCTGAAGTCGGCCCTCATAGAATCTGTCTCTTTTTGGAGAGCCAGCAGCTCATTTGACTTTTCCATTAATTGCTGCTCCCGTTCTGAAAGCTGTTGTTCTGAAATGAGCATTTTTAGTACTTTAGCCAGAGGCCCTGAGCTGGCTGTAGGAAGAGCTTTACTTCCCTCGAGGGCAGATTGCATAATGACATGCCACCCACTCCATCACTGAGTCTTCCAAGTCCCCTCTGACCCACACCAGAGGCCCCCAAAAAGGCCCAGATAAGGTGCCTCTTGACATAATGGGCCTTGAGGGCTGATGACTCAAAAAAAAGCACCAATCCTGAGGTGCAGGGAACACAAAACAGACTGCTGAAGTGTTTATCAACCTTTATTTTATTTTTTTAAATATATTTTTATTGATTTCAGAGAGGAAGGGAGAAGGAGAGATAGAAACATCAATGATGGGAGAGAATCATTGATTGGCTGCCTCCTGCACGCCCCCAACTGGGGATCTAGCCTACAACCTGGGCATGTGCCCTTGACCAAAATTGAACCCAGGACTCTTCAGTCCACAGGCCAACGCTCTATCCACTGAGCCAAACCAGCTAGGACTCAATCTTTATTTTAATGAAGGGAAGCACACCAGTACTTCTTCCTTCACAGGAGGTGGTGCAGTGCAGAGAACATGGGATTTAGAGCCATATGAGCCCTGTTTTACAGGGGGAACTATCTCCTGCTGTTCGATGAGAATCATGTATTCAAATACCTAGTACATAGTGAGACTGAATAAATAATGCTTATAAATAATAGTGACATCTAAAACAAATTGTTCTGATCACACCCTTTAGAGTAACACCCTATCCAGATTTCACTTTTTACACCTCTGGCATGGCCACACTTTTTTTTAAAGTTTTTTTTTTGTTAGGTTTCATTTTCAAAATGAAATGATTGGGTCTGGTTCGATCAAGAGTTCTCAGGGTACCCTAGCTGGCGGCTCAGTTGGTGATAGCATTATCCCATGCACCAAAAGGTTGCAGGTTCTATTTCTGGTCAGGGCACATACCTAGGTTGCGGGTTCCATCCCAGGTCAGGGCATGTACAGAAGGCAACCAATTGCTGTTTCTCTCTCACATCGATGTTTCTCTTTCTATATATAATCAGTAAAAACATATTCCTGGGTAAGGATTGAAAAAAAAGAAGAAGAATTCTCAGGGAAAAGAAATAATAATAATAATAATAATCCCTTCAGATCCTTAAGTCCACTGGGTTCACTCAGGGGTAAGAGGAGGGAACAACATTTTCTGATCATTACTAAACCCTGCAGAAAAAAAATCATTATGGATTCCCATATCAACTCTATTTTATATATGGCTTAAGTGAGAACAAACAGATCTAAAGGCAAATACCTGTATTTTGGTATTTGTCAAATTTTACAGAAATTTTTCACTGTCAAATTAGGATAGAAGTAGAACAGTTAATATTTTTTTTCACTGGCTGAGATGAAATGAATCATTGTTCCCAGAGCTCATAAGTAATGTACTTCACAGAAAGCCTATAGAGTACCTTTTGGCACTACTTTTCCTTACTGTCCCACTTTCTTGGGATAGCATTCTCAAAGACGACAATATGGTGAAGCAAAAAGGTTTAACCGTCAGTCTCAATGCCACTCTCCCGCAGGGCTACGAGGATCAAGTCTGTACTGTACCCCCCACTGTGCTGCTTCTGCCTCCTTTCTGGGCTATGCTTGGGCCCTGGGTCTCCTGTACATACTTCACAAGACACCAGAAGAGCACCCCTCCCCAGGAATGTGATGTTCCAGAATACATACGGGTTTGGGAGAGCGTCTTCTCTAGGGTCTCACCCCACCTCTCCTCTTCCTGCAGAGTCCTGACACGCTCTTCTGTCCCCAGCAGCTTTGTGAGCACCTGGTCCAGTTTGCTTTGCTGGTCTGTTACTTCCTTTTCCAGTTGCTGCTGCTGCTCCTTCAGTGTCGCTTTACTTGCTTCTAATTTTCTCTCTTCACTTTCTCTCTCTTTCTGGAGTCTTTGAAACATCTTAATAAAGAACAATCTTAGTCAGTCATACAATAACAAATAGTGTCCCAGATGAGAGCATCTTCATGGATAGAGTCTAGTACAATAGAAAGTAGGAAACAGCCCACCGTGACAGAGTGAGTTCCTTTACCAAGGTAATCAAGTAGGGACTGGAAAACAATTTGGTCAGCATGTGAGAAGGGGATGCAAGCAGCAAATGACAGGTGGCCATGAAGATTCTTTATGTAACCAATGTTCTAAGGCCTTAAGAGTCTAGAAATATTAATACCAAGAAAGAGTTGGTTACAATACCCCCTAATTACCCAGGGCAGTTAAGGGAAGCTATTCCTTTGGGGGGTACTTCTCAGCAGGTTTCTGCCAGGAGGAAAAAAGCTCACACCAGTGACAAAGTGTTTCCTGTTACGTAAAATCATAAACATGTAGTACCATTTCTTGTTGTGCTAGTTTGGCTTTGTTTTCTTCAATCTCATTCTGGAGCACTTGAAGCTGTTGCTGTTTTGTCTCCTCTTCTTTTTGGCAGTCTTCGAACTTCTTTATCCACTCACTGATGTCCTTCTGGAGCCTGGTCTGCTCACTGAGCAGTGCATCATTCCGCCTGGTGGTGTGGAGCAGGTCCTTTAGGTGAAAGGATACATTGAAACTACTAACAAAGCCATCTTTACTAGAGGTGGCCAGTGCCACGCCAGCATCTGCTAAGTCTGACAAAATGAGACGGAATAAAAGTTCCATATCCTTTATTATCTCAACAAATTTATACAAAGGTACCCAGAACTCAATCATTGGCTTTCCTCTTTTTAGTACCTAAAAAAAACCCACAAGACGGCAGAAGATGTCAGAACCTCAGCAAGAGATTCAGTTCCTCTGAGCTTTAGCTGTATTGTCACTGAGGTGGGAATAAACAATACCCACCTCACAGGTTTGCTAAGATTAAGAAAGACTGTGAATAAGGTTAATTCTTATTGAAAATGAACCAAAAGTCATGGTTTTGTTATCATTTGAAATATATAGGTTTAAAAAACTCAGAAAACAATACTTCTTTCTTTAAATTAAGCATATTTGAAAAAGTTACCATATTTCTAACACCACAAAAAATATTAATGAGAACCCATTTAAGACTTTTTAAAAGATAGAACACTTTGATTTTATATTTTATACATCTTAGAAACACAGAATCCTACAGGTAGAAAGAAGAGAATTTAGATGTCTAATCAAACCTCTAATTTCCATAGTGGAAACTGAGGCCCAGAACTTGCTTGAAGTTCTTTGAAACTCAAATTACAACACTATTCTCATAGGACAACACTGAATTACTTTTAAGATTATCAGAAGTATAAGGGTCAAGAATCCACTCTATTCAATGTCAGACAAGAGAGTGGCCCAGATCTGGCAGTTACTCTGCAGCTCAATGAGCCATCAAATCTAAGCCCAGCCTTTGGAGGTTCATCTGTGCCACAGATAAGAGATGGTCCTTCTGGCCCCTAAAGCCTCTACAGGTGCTGCTGAGGGGTTGGGCTCTGGTCTAGCCACCACCTTATTTATTAACTTCCAGTAAAATGTTGTTTGAATAAAGATTTCTAGGGCTAAAATAAATTAGAAAATCACTGCTCGGCATGTGTATATGATGTTTGTGTTATATAAATGGCCCTGTGGTACCTGCTGGTATGAAAAGGAACTAGCCTATTTGATTGCTATTTCAACCAATTGTCTGAATGCCTTCAGGATACCACTAGAAGATTACATGTTAAGCTTACCTGTTTTGTTAGGTTCAAATGGTCTTGAGCATCAGCTAGTTCTTCTTGTAACAAGTTTACTGCTTCTCGTTTTTCTACAGAAATAACATTTATATGATATAATACATAAGTATGCATTTTCCAGATTTCCATTAGCTCCCCCAAAAAGTGGAGTGAAAGCGAATTTAAACATATTTCTGCTCAATGTATGACTATGCCACACTCTTTTTAAAGGCCAAAAGAGAGAGAGAGGTACATGCACAACCCAGATCTGGGCTTGGAGCCCAGGTTTTTGATGACTTCCATTTTCAAATCCTAACAAAAATTTTTACAGATAATAGCTAGTGCTGAAGTGCATGACTTATAATCAGGCACCTACAACCTTGCTGGTAGAAATGTAATTTGGTATAACTCTCAGGAAGACAATTTGGGAATAAATTTTATACATATATTAGTTTTGTTACTAGCTGTGTGAGTTTGAGCAAGTCACTTACCTTAAGCAAGTGATAAGGAAACTAAAGTTCCCTCATTTGAAAATGTGTAAAATAGTAGTTTTTATCACATAAAACTGTTACAATAATTAAATGAGAAAATGCATATAAAATATTAGCATCATGTCTAAGACATAATAGTAGTCAACAAGTATATTATTAGCTAGAATTACCTAGTAACTTCTCCTAAATAATCATAAATAATTATAAAGATTTGGTAATAAAGATATTATTTGCACCTTTGTTTTTCTTTTTAAAACTATACAAACACACACACACATCCCTAGGAAAAATCATCCCTTTGAGGAATGAGGTCAACAGTAATTTTTATTTCATCTTTTTGCTGTTTTGAAATTGTTCTTGTAAGAACAAAAATTAGTTTTAAACAGCTTTGAGATATTCGTATAGGATGTATTTCACCCACTTAAAGTATACAATTCAGTGGTTTTTAATATATTCACTGTTGTACAAACATCACCACAACCTAAATTCAGAACATTTTTGTCATTTCTAAAAGAAACCTCAGGCACATTAGCGTGAGTTATTTCTATAAGAAAAATCAAACAACTAAAAGGATACCCTAAGAAAAGGCAAAAGCCCCAGCTATGTGGCCTCCTACCTTGTAGCTGCTGCTGCATTGCTGCCATGTCTTCATGCAGGGAGAGCTTGTCCCGGTTTAACTGGTCTAGCTCCTGCTGCAGTTTTCTGACACTCAATTCCAGCTTTTCTAAGTTCGATTGCTCCATTTTGCAATTTTCTTCTGTAGCTGCTAAAGCCCTACCATCCAAGTAAAGAATAGATAGGCTGTCAAATATAAAATGTTCAAGCACACACAAGAGACAACTGAGAGACCGTGTTACACTTTCACAAATTAGTTATGAAATCTGAATGATTATAAATCTTAAAAATTTAAGGTCTTAACTCATTTTCAAGAGAAACCTATTTAAAAATAGGAGATTAAAAAAATAACAACTCGCTAAATTGAAGTTTTATAAAAATCAGGGATGAAACACATGACTAGCACTAATAATTCAAAAAATCCAAGTGGTGAAAATGGATCTCTAACTTCTGATAAGTGTAAAAGCAAGAAACACAATTGTTTGTATCAGAGAATTTGCCCATAAGCAGACATGCATGTGCATGCATTCTCTTACATAACTGGAATCACACAGTATGCACTTGCTTTTGTTTGTAGTTGTTTTTTTTCCACTGAGAATAATTACTCTGAGATTCAGCCATGTTCTTGTATCAACTCCATCCCTTTTTATTGCTGAGTAGTATTCCATGGTAAGGATATACTGTAATTTGCCTATCTGTTTACCAGTTGATTAACATTTAGGGTGTTTCCAGTTTTTGGCTATTGCAAATAAAAGCTGCTATGAACATTAGTATATAGTCTTTGTTTGGACATACACTTTCATGCCTCATGAGTAAATAACTAGGAGTGCAACTGCTAGATCTTCTGGTAGGTATATGTTTGATATTTTAAATAACTGCCAAACTATTTTCCAAAGTGGTCTTACTAACATTTTACACTCCCACCAACCAGGTGTGAAAGTTCCTGGCTAACATTAGGTACACTCAGTCTTTAGTTTAGCCATTCTAATAGGTGTGTAATGATATCTCATTGTGGTTTTAATTGCATTTTCCTAATGGTCAATGATGCTGCACATCTTTTTATGTGCTTATTTACTACCCATATATCTCTTTAAGTGAATTCTCTGTTCAAATCTTTTGCCCATTTGAAAAATTGGATTGCTCATTTTCTTATTATTGAGTTTTGAGAGTTTTATATATATACATATTCTGGGTATGAGTCCTTTATAACATATGTGGTTGTAAATATTTTTCTCCCATCTGTCTTTTCATTATCTTAACAGTGTCTTCTGAGGAGAATTTTTAAGTTTTGATGAAGTCCAAATTAATTATTATTCTTTCACAGATCATGCTTTTAGTGTCATAGCTAAAAAAAATTTGCCTAACCCCAGGTCACAAAGGCTTTTTTTCCTTGGAGTTTTATATTTAGGTTTTATATTTATGGTCCATTTTGAGTTAATTTTTATATGCAGTGTGAGGTATGGATTGAGGCTCTTTCTTTTTTTTTGTGGGGGGGGGGAAGGATACACAATTGTTTCAGTAACATTTCTTGAAAAGACCATCTTTTCTCTAATGAAAAAGATGTCTTTGCATCTTTGTCAAAATCAGCTGGCCACATATTTGTGAGTTTACTTCTGGAATTTGTATTCTGTTCCATAGATGTATTTGTCTATCTTTATACCAATACCATAGTGTTTTGATTACCATAGTTGTATATTAAGTCTTGAAATCAGGTAGTGTTAGCACTAAACATTTGTTCTTCTTTTTCAAAGTTGTTTTTGTGTCACAGTTAAAAAGTTTTAGACTTTATTCTAGGTTGTTTGCATATGAATTTTAGAACCAAACTGTCAATTTCTATTTTAAACGTCTGTTGGGATTTTGATTGTGATTGTTTTGAATTTATAAATCAATCTGAGAACTGAATTGTAACAATATTTCCTACCCACAAACAAGGTATATTTCTCCATTTATTTCTATCTCCCAGCATGTATTATTTTACTTAAAAAAACAAAACAAAAAAACACCACAACAGATTAAGAAAATGCTTTGGGGGGCAAAGTGTAAAAAGAAATTTGCCCAAAAATGCTATTGGTGAATTTCATTCTGATAGTGAATTTGTGGAGTACTTTTTTTCCCTTTCTCAGTTTTCCAAATTTTTGTATAGAGTGTTTATGGTTTAGCTTTCAAGAAGTGATCTTGCAGGCTTAATTTGTTCCCTTCTTACCGTTTTGTTTGTGCCAACTTCTTTTCCCAGTTGTCACATTTCTCTTTCAGATCTTGCTTTTCTTCACACAAAGACTCAACACATGATTGCAATGCTCGGTTCTCAGCAGTTATTCGCTCTATTTCCCGTTTGTCCCTCTCGAGGAGCTGCTTCTGCCACTCTATTTCCCCTTTCTGTCGCACAGCTGCCTGCTGCAAATTCTCTAACTCCAGTTTCTCCTAAATCAGATAAAAGATGACTCAATCAAGCTAAGATACAAAGACTGCAATTTGGTATTGGTAAAACAGCTTTGCTTATTACCTCTAATACTTCAACCTGAGTCTTCTCTAACTCAGACATCTTTTGGTCATGCTGTAGCTTCAAACCTTGTAGTTCATTGTTTTCAAGGTGCAGCATGTCCAGAATATTCTTTAGTTCTAATAGAAACAAAACATGGTCCATGTTATCAAATGAACTTGGAAACATTTATAAAGTGAAACAGAAAAAAATGCTATTGGCTGATACAAGAAACGAAAGATAATAAAAAAAATTTGTGCTGAATTAATGGAGCTAATTATATTTTTAATGGAAAAATCATTTTTTTAAAAATATATTTTATTGATTTTTTACAGAGAGGAAGGGAGAGGGATAGAGAGTTAGAAACATCGATGAGAGAGAAACATCGATCAGCTGCCTCCTGCACACCCCCTACTGGGGATGTGCCCGCAACCAAGGTACATGCCCTTGACCAGAATCGAACCTGGGACCCTTCAGTCCGCAGGCCCATGCTCTAGCCACTGAGCCAAACTGGTCAGGGCGGAAAAATCATTTAAAAGTATTGCTAAGTACTAATTTTAACAAAACATTTTAATAAAAACATTTAACAAAGATCTAGTTCTAAAGGCATTAATCCTACCTAAAAGAATTTTAGACAAAATAAATAGGAAGAACTTTAAAATATGTAAGTTGAGATTTACATAACTCTTTCTCCCTTGAAATATAGATTTATAAATAGTAACTCTTTTTTCTTATTATAAAAATATTTGCTAACTATAAAAAATTTGAAAAAAGGTATAAAAGGAAAAAACCCATCATTATCCCACCATCTATTGCAGTAACATTTTGATGTATTTCCTTTCAGAGCACATAGACACACAAACACATTTTTAAATGAATTCGGACTAGACTCTATATTTAGTTTTTACCTTTTTTGTTCATTCTCCACACCAGCATTTTTACATGTCATTAAATTTTAAAAATACAGCTTTTAAAGTGGTCATTTGTTTCCAAATTTTGTCATAAATTTTGCTGCAAGTAAACAACTCAGGCAGCTTAATTTATGAAACAAGGAAATAAAGGCTTCTCTTTAAAAAGAAATATTCCTGTGATGGGCATAAATGCTTACCTTCTCTAGATAACTAGAAATGGGCTAACTGGTGCAATAGGTATGAATTGTAAGAGTCTTGAAACACTGGGAGAGTGTTCCAATTTATACTTTGACCAATAGCCTACAAGTAAGTGTTCTGCTTTCACCACACCTGGTCAGCAAGGAATATGATTATTTTGCTTTTAAATAAACTATCAATTTGAATGGCAGAAAAAATATCATTTTCCTTTTATAATCTGTAAGATTAACTTTTAAAAGAAGTTTATTTGACTATTTGTTTTTCTTCTATGACCTGGAATATAGACATTTCCAACCTCAGACTTTATATGATTGTTTTCCTTTAAACTTACCAGTTTTATGTTTAGACATTTGCCCTAAAACTACCTGAAGATTTTCTTCTTCTTTTTCAATTTCCTGCTTTATAAGAGTAAGTTGAGTTTTTTTTTCACTAATCTGGACATTCAGTTCTCCTTTTTGAAAACTCATTTCTTCCAGAAGAGATTTTACTTCCTGTGCAAAAAAATTAAAAATAAAAAGTCACCTCCCACCTTCACAAAATTATGAATGGAAACTAATATCAGTTCTGTTAATGTCTCATTTTATAAAAATTCTAATTTGGAAACAAGCTCATTTTTGCCTTTTATGTCAAGAACAACACTGTATTTTACACTACCATATTTCTGTATAGTAGAAGTAAGAAAGTAACATACTTTCTTCATTTAAAACGTATATGTAACATTTGCCATGTGCAAGGCAATGTGTTGTAGAGAAAGGCTGATTCAAATATCTCTCCTGCCCTCCAGGGGCTTCGTGCCCTGTGGGGAAGTAAAACTGGGCACATAAACATGATCAGGAAAGGCTAAGATGCCCTAGGAAACATGAAGAGTGCTCCTAAATTCAAAAGAGAGAGAAACTCCTTTCAGGGTAAAGAAAAAGTCAGAAAAGTCTTAGTGGCATGAACCTGAACCAAGAAAAATAGGTAGGATCTGGACATACACAGAAAGAGAATTCCTGGAAAAGAATAAGTATGAGGAAAGTACAGAAGCAGAACACCTTGGGCACGTCCAGGAAACATTATTGGGGAGCTACATATGACAGCCACAGCATAGCTATACAACATGCCACCAAACTGATGATACAGAAGAGTCAAGATTTGGAAATTTAAATTTGCATTTGGAGGGAACCTATAAAAATATCTCAAAATAAACCTGTAGCCAAGCACTATCCTAGGACTCTTAAGAAAATCCACTGGAAAACATACCCTAATATAATTGCACTTCTCAGTTACTTCAGTTTCGCCCAGTCTCAGGGCTTCCTGGAGGTCAGCTTTGGCCTGGACCATGCTTTCTTGGAGTAGATGCAGCTCCTCCTTTTTATGCCCTAACTGCCTGTCCAAGACAGCCATCTCCTGCTGCTGAGCTGTCACCTGCATTAAAGAAAAGTGAAAAATATAAAGCTTGACAAAGGCCACAACCTAAAAATTGTGGGGAGACATTAGGAGCTAGCCTAATTCTAATTATCCGGGTTGCAAGAGTGAGAAAAGCCAGGCTTGGAAATAGGCATGAAGTGCCTAATAAAGACCTTGAGCTCACATATGTAAAATCACTGAAATCATACCAAAAGCAAGAGTGGTATAATAATGATCCCTCAGGTTATGGTTTTTAAAGAACTTTCCTATCTCTACCTTATTCCATTTGACAACTACTTTGACAATGGAAGTTAGGCAGGGATTTTTAAAATGTATTCATTTTGTAAATTTAAAAATTGCATATAATTTTAAGAGTTACACATATTTATTTACAGAAAAGGCAAAAATGCAAGAGAGAAAATGGAAAATCCTCATAGCCCTCCCTTATCAAACGACTCCTTTTGTACTGTGGTATAGACTAAAAATACAAACATAAGTAAACACATTTAACATAAACAATCTGAGTATATCCTGTTCTTTTATTCAATAGCATGTTTTACTGAGTTGGGATTAAAATTTGGGTTGGACTCTACTCTTAACCTCTACATATACAGCCTCATTTATGCTTTAAGTTTTATTTTGTATTTTCCAGTCTTTTCTACAATCAAACATGTATTACTTTTTAATCATCACATGAATGTAGGTTTCAAAGCAGCATGCACTGGTTGTTCAAGGCATCTGTTGCCATACCTGGCTTTTCAGCTTCTCCAGCTCTGCCCTCTTGGCCTGCAGGAGGGTCTCTGACTCTTTAAGGACCTGCAAGTGATGATCCTCATTGCGTTCTGCGGCCTCGATGTCTTTTTGCAGTTTCTGCAACCTACAAAGCACAAAATAATAGAGCAGATCCAAATGGAGACTGACCCTCAATCTGTCTACCAGCACAAGCTCCTGAAGCCCCATACAGGCCGTAGTACTTACTCTTCAGTCAGTTTTTCCTTCTTCTTGTTTAGACACTGGAAGTCTGAGTCTTTTGCTGCAACAACCTTGTTTATTTCTTCCAAGATTCCTTCTTGTTTGATTTTGTGCTGCTCCAAATCCTTCGTGTCAGCCTGGATCAATCTAAAACATCAATTTATTCCTCCAAGGCCCTTAGACTTAACATGCACTATTTATCATAAATCAGTTATTATCCTCTTAGAACTAAACTTTTCATTCATCTCACTGAATATATCAATGGCTGAAGGATTCCACCTACCTGAGCTGCTGGTCGGCTTTGACAAGGTTGATAGCAGTTTCCTGAGCTCTCCTTTCTAATTCCTCAGCATCTTTCTCAGTTTGCAATAACTTTCTCTTGGCATCAGCAAACTTTTCAGCAGCATTTTTGGTCTAGAAAACAAACTATCATTAAAAGCAATTCAGTTACAGACTTCTCTCACAGCTATTGGTAGTGTAAATTGGTATAACTCTTGGCAAACAAGGCAATACAGAAAAACTTTAAATGTTCATTCACTTTGGCTCTCCAATTCTCAGAAAAAAATTCAAAAGTAAAGAACTACCACACAGAAATGCTCAATGTTTATTGAAATCATGTAAGCGGACAAATAATAGATTCAACAAGTGTTAATGTAACAACACAATGGAATACTGTGCAGCCTTTAAAATAGAGTGACAATGTGGCAACATGGGAGAATGTTAATGATATTATGATGACTTAAAAATTTACAAGCACTGTAAGAGCAACTATGTAAAATTATATCTGTGTTATCAAAGACAGAAAGGCTATGCAAAAATAAAAATAATCATTTGAGGGTGATGAGACTGGATGATCTTATTTAAGAAATAATCTGTAATATTATTATATGTTACTTTTTTCAATTAAAAATATCTACCCAATTAAGTAGCAATTAAGTGATTTTACTAATATTCCCTCCACACAGAGATGCTGGTTGTACTCTAGCTATTATCATGTTAGGTAAAACCTAAATTATCTGAAGATGATTTAATTATGGCTGACAAACACAAATATTAAATACTTTTTTAAAAAATATTTTTTTTATTTCAGAGAGGGAGAGAGAGATAGAAACATCAATGATGAGAGAGAATCATTGATTAGCTGCCTCTTTCATGCCCCCTATGGGGGCTGGTTTCTGCCAGTTTCATCAGCAAAGCACTGGACAAAGCTCAGTATGCACTCCAGAATGCCACTGTTTCCAAGTAGTTTTTTTTGTCTCCTATGTCAAGTTTTAACTTGTCTGGCACATTCCTTACAAAATGTAGCATTTCTCCCTTCCTCTTTGTCCTTAGCAAGCTGCCTCCCTGAGTCATTTTGGGAAGATGAAGGGAGAAGAACTTAGTCTTGGTTCACTTATTATCTCTGCCTACTACTAGTATCATCAATTTTTTTCTTTTATATCCCAGTGATAAGTTTTTCTCTAGTCCTGCTCACACCTATTTCCTCTCACAGTAATCTAACATGTGATAGAAGAAGGAACTGATCATTTGAAAAGAGATGAGGATAGTTTTCCATTCTTATTAAAACCATCACTCAAAGAATTTCTTTAATAAGTCATTCATTTCCATTCTTGGGTAATAGATTTCTGTTCTTTAAAGTGATCCATTTTTAAATAACAATATAAAAATAGTAATTCCTGAGGTTGCTCCATGTGGGTATGGGACTTTATCTGGAATTCTCCTCTAGCTAAAAAAAAAAAGCTCTCTTGGTAAGACAGAACTTTAACTGTGTGACCCTGGGCTAGTTAACAGCCTCTCTGAGCTATATCTGTCAACCGGCTAACAATCACTTTACATGGTTGCCAGGAAGGTAAAATAAAAATAAATAAAACATCCAATATTATCTCAGACCAAAAAATATTTGATTTTTTATATCCTTATCAACTTAAGAGAACAAAGTAAGACTAGGAGTCCTGTAAGGTACAATGTTGCTTTATAAAAATACTAGAGGCCCAGTGTACGAATTCGTGCACAGGTGGGGTCAGGCTGGCCGGCCCCAATCGGGGTGAATCGGGGCCAGGCCTGTCAGGAAGGAGCCAGCGGGGGCCAGCTGGGGGGAGGGGTGCAGGCAATTGGCCAGAGGGCCCCGCCCCCAATTGGAGTTGGGGAGCTGACTGGGGGCGGGGATGGCCTGGGGAGGGGCTGCGGGTGGTGGGCCAACCGGCCCCACCCCTGATTGGTGTGTGTGGGGCCAATTGGGGGTTGAAGCTGGCTGGCGGGAGGGGCTGCGGGCCGATCGAGGTGGTGGGGGCTGTTTGGGGGTAGGGCCAGCCATGGGGAGGGGCTGTGGGTTGGCTGGCCTTACCCCCGAATGGAGTGAGGGGTCCCATCAGGGACCAGCAGCCCTGGGGGAGGGGCCATGGTTGTTTGGCTGGGTGGCCCTGTCCCTGATCGGAGTGGGGGGGCCAATCGGGGGCGGAGCTGGCTGGTGGGAGGGGCCGAGGGCCAACTGGGTTGGTGGGGGCAAAAAAAAAGGAGTGGGGCCAGCTTGGGGGAGGGGCTGTGGGCCAATCGGGGTGGTGGGGGCCCATTGTAGGTGGGACCAGCTGGCCAACCTCCTGCAGCCCCTCCCCCCGGCCGGCTCCACCCTTAATTGCGCCCCACCCCAATAGGGGACCAGGCCATCCAGAGGGAAGGGCTTTGGGGGGGTTGGCCTGATGCCCCACCCTCGATTAGGGTGGGAGAGGCTGATCAGGGACAGGGCCGGCTTGGGGAAGGGGCCATGGGAGTTTGGCTGGCCAGCCCCACTCCCCCAATCGGACTGTTTCACTGGCCGCAGTGGGCATCATAGCGACTGGTTGTTCTGGTCGTTATGGCGTTCCAGTCGCTGGCTTTTTACATATATATAGATAAGATTGACGTATTTAATAATTACAGATATCAAACCAAATAAACAAAGACTCACATAGTTAAGGAGGTGGCAAGTGTTAGGAACTAATGACTTCAGAAGCTTTAAATATGCTACTTCATTTAATTAATACTAAACAGCCTTGGTATTCTTAATCTGAATTTAAGTATGAGGAAAGCAAAGCTCAGGGACTTAAATGACTTGCCCAAATTTTCATAGCTTCTAAACTAGCAGCGTCTAGCCTAGAACATGGCAGTCTGACTTGGACAACTTTAATCTTATCACATTTTCTTTCTAATCCTTCATGCTGACAACAGTAAGCTGTCTCACCCCAAACCACAACTGAACATACTTTCTCTTCTGTGCATGAAAGTTCACTCTCAGCTTCCGCCAGCAGTCGATCAGCTTCCCTGAGCTCTGCTCGACGTTTCAGAAGGGTCTTCTCAATGCACTCAATTTCATCTACAATATCCTCATGGTGCTTGAGTGATTCTTCCATTTCTTGTTCATCCATAAGACTCTCCACATTTCCATCAATGAAATCTCTAAAAAAAATCATATACATGCACATCAAGGTATTTTAAGTGTTATAATACAGACACTTGGAGCCTAAACCAATATTGATATTTCTATTCTTCTGTGGAATAAAAATAAAAATAAAACCACTACCACAATAATTATCCATTCCCTCAAAATTATCCTTCAAGACACAGTTACCCCAAAGACTGCCTAATTTTGTCTGTTCTGCTAGAATAAACACGGTGACAATATCTGGCATGACACAAGGTTCGGTAACTCAAGGCTATCTTGTCAAAATTACTTGAAAACAAGACCATCTATGGTAAAAAAAAAAAAAAAATGAAAGTAAATCCATCGATATATTCACAGATTATCTTTAAATGGAGGTATATAGAAACTTTTACTTTTTCCTTTGAACATTTTTGTGTTATCAAATTCCCTAAAATGATTATTTAAGTTACACTTTTATATCTGGGAAAAGAAGTGGTTATCCCACTGCCCTGCCATCCTCCTCAAAAATTATCCCTCACATATACACCTAGAAAAATAATAGATATAACCATTCCCAAACCCTCAAACATCTAATCCCAAGGGCTTTGCTTTTCCCTGCCAGGTCTGTTAGAAGGCAGAGACCATATCTCACTCACCTCTGTGTCCTTCACAGGACTCCCCTCTACCCTGGTGGCTTGGGCCAGTCTGGCTTAAATGACAAAAACTGGGGAACTGTCATAATCCATGGCCTACTGCAGAAGAGGAGCTTCTACATAAGTGACCCACTCCGCAGATACTGCATTCATTCACAGACCCTACGCCAGGTGCTGCGGCACAGAAAGGGAGGCCCAGCTACCCGTCCTCCTCTGCTCCTTAAAACATGGTGTGAACAGTACTATGCCCAAGGCTGCCAACCCCAAATTGTGAGAGCCCAAGATGAGAAAGACTTTGTGTAAAAGGGAATCCTTGCCCTTTGTCTTGGAAGACAGGTAGGAGTTAGGCAGGGTTAGAGTAATGAAGCCATTTCAGACAAAGGACAGTATGTGTAACAGTGGGGAGGCAGAAGAAAATGTGGTGCTTGGGGAACCCACAGCAAAGTAAGTAGAGCCAGAACAAACACTGTGTGTGGGACAGCAGGATAAAAAAGGCAGGCGGGATTCAGATCTTGGTGGGTGGGGTATATTCTGATGGGACTGAGAGTCACATAGAAGAGTGGCACAGTGAGATTTGTAACCAAGTCAACAGGTAGAAGAAAAAAAAAGAGACTAAGATGTAGAAGGCCAGTGTGGAAGCTAATGCAATGATCTAGGATGAAACTCACTAAAGGCCAGTGCAGTGGAGATCAAAGAAGGGGTCCAGTTTCAGAGCTCTTTTGAGTAGTCAGTAGGACTTGGAGACTAGCTGGATGCTGGGGGGAGTGAGGGAAAGGGAGATGTTGACAACACCTGGCAGGGTAACTGGGGAGGGGGAATGGTTGTGCCATTTTCCAAGAGGGACTACAAGAAGAGCTGATTTGGATTACTGGCTAAAAGAATTGAAGCTTACACTGTCCAATATGGTAATCACCATGTGGATATTAAATTAATTTAAATTAAATTCTGTTCCTCAGTTCCATTAGCCACATTTCAAGTACTCAATAGCCACATGTGGCTTTGTGACTACTGCTTTGGACAATACAGATCTAGAACATTTTCAAGATCATAGGAAGTTCTATTGGACAACACTGATTCAGGTTATCTTAATGAACAAATATTATAATCATCTGAATTATAAAAATAAAATGGCTAATAATTACTTTCGCTGTTGATGCTTCTGGATGGTTCTATGTAATTCTTCTACTTCATGCTCTAAGTCTTTCTTCTCTTGCAAAAGACCATCAATATTATAATGCAGTTCTTCCATTTCTTTCTCAGACTGCTGCTTGGATACTCTCATCCACTGTTCCCATTTATTTGATTTTAAGTGCTGCATTATGTCTTCCAATCTAGAAACTTCACTCTCCTGAACAAAGAAAAAATGCAATATTGAAACGTCACATGATGTTTTCCCTATTTCCTGCCCAAAAGCTGAAATTAACTGTGGTTAAAGTGGCATGTCTGACCTGAAAATGGTGGTAGTTTTTAAAGCTTCAGTATATGAAGAAAAAGTAAGTCAAGACAATTTTTCACAAGTCACAGATGAAATGAGTAGATTAATAAAACTTTAGACTTTTCCATCAGTCCAACTATGGTTGATAAACATTCACTAAGTACCTCTGCCTCCAGAGTTCAGCATCTAGCAGAAGAGACACAGGCCTCACCCTCCTCTGGGCACATGGGAGAGAAGCTTTATGAGCAGGCTGACCAGAGGAAGAGGTGTTTTGCCTGGGTTTTGGAGAACAAATGATATGGGAAATACCTAAGCTGAGGAAATAACACGTACACGTTATAGGGAGGTGTAAAAGTGCACCTGGGAGCCCTGCTGGTGTGGCTCAGTTGGTTGGGCGTCCTCCCATGCACTGAAAGGTTGCCGGTTCCATTCCAGGTCAGGGCACATGCCCGGGTTGAAGCTCTATACTGATAAGGGGCATGCAGGAGGCAGCCTATTGATGTTTCTCTCCCTCTCCCTCCCTCTTTCTCTAAAATCAATAAATTACTCTTTAACAAAAAAAGTGCACTTGGGAAACTATAGAAACAGCTGGGTACTACTGGGGAGTAAAAGAACCAGCTTAAAAGATTATCAAACACTGAACCAACAGAATTGCTATAAACTCAATGTGCACTGAAAAACTGCAAGACAATGTGAATGATTACCATTTTTAACCATATTAATGCACACAGTCCCTCTGAAACTAGTCTGACCTATTAAAATGGGACGGTGGCTAACACCCAGGTGTCCTAGTCCTTTACCTTCCCTTTTTCTCAATCTGCTACAAAGAAAAGGAAAAAATAAAGCGCTCCAGGTGTCTTGAGTTTGGAGGAGGAGCTTGTAAAATAAATTTTATTTTTTTTAGAACCAAAAAGTTATAAGGTAAGCTAGTGATTAGGAAATAATCATTGCTTGGAATCTAAACTAAGAAAAGAATACGAAATACAGTAAAAATTTACACACAGTAAACCATAGTGCCTACAAATAAATGTGCAGTCATACTATTTAGAAGCATTTGTAAAACCATGGGGAAGTGCTTGCAACATTAAAGGGGAGAAACAGATACAAAATTCTGTGTACAAGAAAAAACTATGAAAAGAAAGAAATAATAATAAACCTCACCACCCAGAAGTAATACCCATCAAAACCTTGCTGTGTGCTACTCATCCATGTGTTTATATACAAGCACATACATGTGTATGGATCTAAACACATATAAACACATGTATGTGTATAAGTACAGGCACTCATATATGAATATACTTACACATACACATTAATATAGTACTCATCACTAGAAAAACATGTAAACTTTCTAAAAATGATTACTTTCTGGACTATTTTGTTATATAAACCTGGTTTGTAGACTGATTTGGTACCCTAAGTCCTGTCCAGTATTTTAATAAGAGAATGGTTGCTCAGTTCTAAACATCAGCCTTACAAACATACTTTGGGGATATAATCCATTCATAAGTAGGCCAATTTATTAAGTAAGTAACCTTATTCAGTCTCCCATGGAAGCAGTATGAATAGGGGGTCTTATGTCTTTCCACTTACTAAGTTACGGTGTTCCGGAACATTGCAATGCAGCACGCCCATAGGGATGAGGGGGATGGAGAAGTTGGGGGGTGGAGGTCCATAAACGATGGGGACCCCAGAAGGAGGCGGGCCATAAACAACAGTACCAGGCGTGAAAGGTTGGCTATTGTTGGGCAATGGAGGAGGTGGTGCATACAAGGCCATGCCCTGGGGCACAGGAGAGCCATCAGGAAACACAGTGTATATCATGTATCCAGGAGGAGGCACAAATGGGTGCTCCTCTTGGTCATCCAGCTCGCTCTCTTCTGGGCTGTCTCCTCTACTGTCTGCATCTTGAAAGAAATAAACAGAAGAGGTGAGGGGTAAGAGATCAACCAAAGGACTTGTAGGCATGCATATGAGCAAAACCAATGGACACAGACAGGGGAGGGGGGGCCCGGGGGAGAGGTGTTGTGTGGGGGGGGGGGAGCAGTGAGAGCATATGTGGGAGGTGGAAGCGGCCGGGGAGAGGTCAATGGGGGGGGGAAAGGAGACTTATGTAATAAACAATAAAGAATTTAAATTATAAAAAAAAAGAAAAAAAGAAGTGTTTTACTCCCATGGCTTACTAGATAAACAAATTTAGCAGAAAACAGCAGCATTTAGGCCAGATACCAGAAATCTTAGAATAAAATTCTATAAAAAAGGTAAAAGCAATTTTGAAAAGCAGATCAAAACAGGGATTCAAATTATTTTCAGTGGCTGATACCTGAGTTTTTCTTATGACTATCTATTGGTTTGTGTGTGCTTTTTTCCCTGTCTTCATTCGTTCGTTCGTTCATTTATTCGGCAACCATTTGGGTGCCTGCTTCGCTCGATGTACAAGGAGATACGCTATGAAATCCCACAGCTCTCAGCATTTACCACCATCACAACGCACAGCACTCTCTAAGGCAGTGGTTCTCAACCTTCCTAATGCTGCGACCCTTTAATACAGTTCCTCATGTCGTGGTGACCCCCAACCATAAAATTATTTTCATTGCTACTTCATAACTGTAATTTTGCTACTATAAACAATATGTAATTATATATGTGTTTTCTGATGGTCTTAGGCGACCCCTGTGAAAGTGTCGTTTGACCCCCAAAGGGGTCACGACCCACAGGTTGAGAACTGCTGCCCTAAGGTGTTGATTTACTTACTTGCCTCCCCTGCAAGCAAGAACTATGTTTATCACTGATGACAGAGAACCTAGCACACAGCAGGCACTCAATAAACAGGTACTGAATGAACAAATTCTCAGAAGGTCGTATTTCCACTTTAAAGATTTAAAGTTTCAGAGTAGCTAAATAATTTGCCTAGGGTCACACAGCTACTTAGTGAAAAACCCAGGATCTACCCCAGGTCTGACTCATTCCCACAAAGCTTTAGAAAACAGACTTCTAATCCTTTATTTTAGTCAAGCATATTAATGCCATGATTCAAGGATGTAAGCTGCCACACTCCAGGAGCACAGGCAAAGAAGCGGCTCAGTCTGCCTGGGTGAGGCAGGGTAGAGGAAGGCTCCATAAAAAAAGTGGTGTTTGAGGACCTGGATAAGTAGAAATAGGTGTGGGAGAGGATGGAAGAAAAAGGACTTTCCAAACAGAGGGCTTAAACATGGAGGTCTGAGGAAATGGCATGCTGCATCTTAGGCAGCTGGATATGGCTGACATGTGGGAGAGTGATGGGAGATGAGACTAAAGGACAAGAGGTCACTGGCCAAGACCAAGTCACAGAGACCCTTGCAGAGCAAGCTAAGGAGTTTGGATTGTGTCTTATAGATTTCAGGGAACCAATAAAAAGTTATTAAACAGGCAAGAGAAATACAACTACCTTATGTGACCTAACTTACCTCTATTTGAAAACGATTTATGTAACCCACTCCTGATGGGAGAATAAACCCAGTATCCTGAGGCAGGTGGAGGTCCACTGCCTTCCTTCCGGTCTGATCGCCCAGGATGTGGTTTTCTAATGGGAGTTGAGGCTGCGTACTTTAAGCCAACACCAGAGTCCTTGGTGGCCTGGGAACTGTGGCTGGAAACCTAAAACAAATGACAGTAGAGCACACTATCTATCCTATATAATAAAAGGCTAATACGCAAATTGTCCCCACAGCTGTGAGTTTGACCAGGGGGTGGGGCCAGCCAACCACCTGTGGCCCCTCCCCTGAGCGGTCCCCTTCACCTCAATCTGGTGGGCAGGACCCCACTTGTGCACGAATCCGTGCACCAGGCCTCTAGTTACAAATGAAAAGACTGATTTGGAGAAATAAAATCTAGAGCAAAACTAAGATGTAGCAAAGTTGAGAACAAAACTATTTTTTTATATATCACAATTCTCACTTTTCACAGATAGAAGTGAGATGTGATTACATGGACAGATAAAATGCCTGGGTGTCTGCCTCGCTATTCCATTACTTATCTTTCCTGGTGGTTTCTCTTCTTTTGCCTTGTCCTTGATTGCTCAGCAACTGAGGCAAAGAACACCAATCAACTTTCAAGGGAATCTGGGGATATTAGCCTCCTGCTGCCCTGGGAGTTTGGCATGGCTTTAGAGTGCTACTCTTTCTCTCCTAAGGAGACGGTCTATCCAGTCGTAGGTCTTTCCTCCAAATCCTCACCCACACTGCTTCCACCACCAGCCCTCGTTGTGCCAAGGATGTTGGCTTCCTTTAGTTTTCTGAGTGAAGAATCTGAGATTCTGCTCTTTGGGGAGCTGATTAAGTCTACACAGCCCTAGGACCTAGCATGTCACATTGCTTCTCTGACTGCTGCTTGTCAGCTGAATCTGGCAAGATGTCACCCAACCCCTCTGCTTTCGAGGAGTGCTTCTTACAGTCCTCTCCTCACTCTCCACACCACATTCAGGTCTCAAGCCCCCACCATTTTGTCTCCTGAACATCATTCAATGCCATCTCTTCTGCTCCAGTCCCACTGCTCTAGCTCTGGTCTCTATCCTTCACCTGACTGTATTCAAACAGCCTCACAGAGAGTTCAGCCACCACAGGTCTAGCCTGCATACTCAGCCCAATTATTTGTCTTAAACTATAGCTCTGATCATATTACATACAACCTCAGTTTCCCAAGGCCTACATAATTAAGTGCAAGGGATTTTTAAAGCCCTTTTTTAAAAGCATGACCCCAATCTACTTTTCCAGCTTCACCTTCATTGTTCCCATCCAACCCTCCAGCCCCACAAGTTACTTCCACAAAAGGTGTTCCCTCCTTCCTAAAAGTCAGTCCCTTACTGGTTGCTAAGTGTTGACTTCACCATCCTGCCTGTGAAGCCTTCCTTCCTGAACTCCCCACAAAGTGAAGCCTTCACACCTCTCTGCAACCAAAGTACACAGGTCAAGTCTGCTGTCACATGCATGTCACTGCTTTGTAATTACATTGGTGTGCCTGCCTTCCCTGCCAGCCCATGAGCTCTTTGAGAGCAGGGGCTATATCATTCATCATGGTCCCCCACCATTGCCTAGCACTAGACTTCAGTAACCACTGAATGAATGTTAGTTAAAATGAAATGAAATCCAGGTGCCTATTTTTCTGTCTGAGTATCTGTACAATTCTATACCCATGTTTTAACAGGCTCTCTGGGCTCAAGTCGTGTTATCCCCTTATAGGATTCACATTCAGGGACCCTATACCACCTAAGTATGAATGGGCAATTACCACATTCCTTGGGAAGGCCCTATTTTCATCTCAAATATGGAAAACACTTAAGAACCTCAATGCATGGCTTAGCCTAGATATGTGTTCTTGAACCCTGTTCACAAATTTTGGGAAAAGAACATTGTCACACTTTCTTCAAGACAATTCAGTATATACTCCCAGCACCACAGACTTCCTACTTTTGATGATGACGGTGGCGGCATAAAGTACCAATAGCCTCGTCTTTTGAAAGGATCTGCCATGCTGCTGATGTAATCATTCTGATAAGAAACTTCACGTCGAAGGTCAGCAATTTCTTCCAAAATGTTTTCAAAGTTTCCTTTATCTGTAAAGGAAAGCCATTATGTAAAGTTGTCTATGAAACCATCTACTTCCTTCCTCTCTATACAAGTGATTCCATGAGAGTCAATGACTTTTATCAATTCCTCAAAGTTGATTTTCAGCCTGCCTAGCTAACATTTAAAGAGCAGTCATAGCCTTCTGTTGTTCACATATAAAGCCAGAAAAAGAAAATAAACAGATTGTTGTAAACATTATTTATTTTGAAAATACAAAAATAAATATCTTATCTCTTTGTGATCAAATCCTTTAATACAATACTGTACTTACATAAAAATTTTAATTCTTTGCTTTTATTTATTAAGCTAATTATCACAGCTGGTAAATCAAGCATAAAACTGATCTGTAACAGTTGAATAAATTTGCTAAAGGTAAAAAAAAAATGTTTTGATTTAGAACTACAGTACCACTACCACAATCAAAGGCCAATACTTTACCGGCCCCAGTGAGGTCTAGTAAGTTCCGCAGCCTTGCAATCTCTGTCCTTTGCCTCTCCATGGTCTCATTCAGCTTCTCCATTTCCAGCACCTGTGAGTCTGCTCCTGTGGTATCTACATCTGCTTTCTCCATCTCAATACGAAACTATTGAGAAATCAGACACACAAAGTTCCCAATGAATATTCTTTCACATATGCACTTATTCTTGCCACTCACTGTAATTCTAGAAGTTTTACTTATACTTTACTAATGAGGAAACTGCCTCACTCCTTATAAACTACACTATCCTTGGCACACAGAAAATAAAGCACTGACTGACTAGTGATTGCAATTCAAAATCATTTGTGATATCCCCTCCAGTGATCAGTCTTTTAGAAACTGACAAGGACCCAATCAGGAGGAGGTCTCAAGGTACCAGCACTGACCTGCTCCTCTTTCCCCCTGAGAAGATTCTGTAGGAGTTCAATCTCTGCTTCTGCTCGAGTCAGATCCCTGGCTGCTTGCATGGCCTTTCTGCTGAACCTCTCCGTTTCCTGCAACTCCTATTGGGACAGAGGTATGAGAAAGGCCCCACAGCTTTCATAGGTTGTTTTCTTCATTTCTTCTTCCTCCTAGTTTGATTCCTCTGATTTCATCAGATTGCCTGCCTGGCTATCCCATGTATATGTGATGCCAAGTCCCACCTTGTCCTCTACTGTTCCCATCACCTGGCAGGCTGTTCTACCCCTCTATGGGTGGAATAGGGTGCTGCATCAGAAGTGAGCAGGGCTCAATTTTTCCTTCATTGGTTCTACAGTCTTCCATGACTGGTGTCTTTCTGGACTCTCATCATTAGATTCTCTCCTAAGATCTACTGTCTTAATCTCATTAGCATTTGCATTCTATAAAGACTGTATCAGACATTATCTCAGTCAGGAGTCATAACAGCCCTATGAGGTAACATATTAATCATCTGACTGCACAAGATGAAAAGTCTGAGATTCAGGAGGATTACATGGTGAGCCTTGAAGACCTTTATTTGGGTCTGCAAAGATAGCTATCTCCCTAAGCAGATCCCTACACTTTGAGGTAGGGATGGTATGTTTCATTTGATGGTTCCTTTCAGGACTCAATAGAGTGCAGTACCCATGGCAGGGCTGTGAGAGGAGAAATACAATCTGCAGGTCTGAAGGGAAATATATAATTTGATAGTGGTTTAATAAATAGCCAAAGTCTATAAGAAGATCAGTAATACAAGTTGTTATGTTTTTTGACAGAAGCAGCACTGGTGGAAACTTGTTCTGTACATGTGAACTCACCTCTGCTCGCTCCTGGTTAATTTTCATAACAGTTCCATGAAGGGACTTAAGCTGGTCTTTAGCAATGGTGAGCTCAGCTGTGGCTAGCTTATCAGAGGCAGCCACAGCTTTTTTAAGTTTCCTTAATTCTTTATCTAAACCAAGAAACTGCTCCTGAGATTTGGCATCTTCAAGTTTCTTCTAAAATAAAAGAAATATTAATTAAACATATGAATCATTTGGTAACAATGAGTTAATATGTAATTAATATTAGGGCAGGGGTACTATTTACTGCTACACATCCCATGCCTAGAACAATACCTGGTACATAGTAGGTGCTCCATAAATATTCACTAAGTGAATGAATAAATAAAATCATCTCAAAACTGTAAGAGAAACTTAGAATGAAATCAGTCTTCTTAGTCAAGAATCTTAGTGATAATAAATTCATTCACTGATTGGAAAAACGTTTCTTGGCACTATCACCAAGTGATACACCACCTGCTTTGAATCACTGAGTCAGGCAGTAGGCATATGGTGGCAAAGAAAACAGATTTGGCTGCTGCCCTCAAGGAGCTTAGGAGAGTCATATTAAACACCTACAGAGACAAATAACTAAAGTTGTGATTAGTGCTATCAAGGGACAGAACAGAGCACGGTCTGAGAGAAAAGCAGGGAGACCTAGATTGGTAGGAAGGCAGCAGCCAGGAAGAAGAATAGTGGAAGAACATGGTCCAGGGGAGGGAATGGCAGGTGCGAAGGCCAGGAGGGAAGACAGAACTTGGCATTTTTGATTAGCTGAAAGAAAGAGCATACTGAGAGCCCTAGTTGGTTTGGCTCAATGGATAGAGCGTTGGCCTGCAGACTGAAGGGTCCCAGGTTCGATTCCGGTCAAGGGCACATGCCTGGGTTGCAGGCTCGATCCCCAGTGCGGGGTGTGCAGGAGGCAGCCAGTCAATGATTCTCTCTCATCATTGATGTTTCTATCTCTCTCTCCCTCTCCCTTCCTCTCTGAAATCAATAAAAATATAATTAAAAAAAAAAAAAAAAAGCCCTGACCGGTTTGGCTCAGTGGATAGAGCGTCGGCCTGCGGACTAAAGGGTCCCAGGTTCGATTCCGGTCAAGGGCATGTACCTTGGTTGCGGGCACATACCCGGTAGGGAGTGTGCAGGAGGCAGCTGAATCGATGTTTCTCTCTCATCGATGTTTCTCTCTATCCCTCTCACTTCCTCTCTGTAAAAAAATCAATAAAATATATATATTTTTTAAAAAAGAGCATACTTAGAAAAGGAATGAACTAAACAGAGGTAATCATGCAGGGCCTCATAAGCTTAAGAATTTTGGACTTTATACTAAGTACAACAGAAGCTACTAGAGATGGGGGAGACATGGATGGACTGACAAGAGCCAATTCACATTTCTGAAAGAACATGTTGGCTGCTCTGTGAAGCAGGGTCATTAGCGGAAGTGGGAGACTTGTCAGGTGGTCACAGCAGGTGTCCAGAAGACAGATGGCTGAATGAAGGTGGTGGCACTGGAGAAGAACATAATACATATATTCCAGATATATTTTGGAGGCAGGCTCTGTAAGACTGGGGACTGATGGGTTCTCAGTATGAGGCTAGTCATTCATTGAGGCTGGAAGAAGGGAGATGGTAGGTGTGAGGAGTGAGAAGACATGAAACAATAGAGCATAGGAGAATAAGCTTACTGGAGAAAAGGGTAAAGCTCCCCAGTTAAGGTAGGTTAACCAAGAGTTTACAGTGATACCACTATGCCTGGAAAGGCGACTTATCCTCCAGGAATACTTAGCATGTCTGCAAGCCCAAAGAAAGCAAATAGCTGCAGTTTTGTCAGAGAAGACAGACAGGAGAAAAGGGCAAGGGATTTGAGGATATTTGCAAAAATGGCTACAGTGGTAGACTGTGGAATCTAAGTTGAACAAGGAGGAAAATAAAGATAGGAAGACTTAACAAACAGAAAAGGCGGGGCTAATGTAGTGAAATTCTCAATAATGTTGAAAAATGTCAGCATGGGGTGCTAGTAAGAAAAGAGGTGATGATAAGAGTGATGCTTCAATTTGTGATTTCAAAGGTGGTGGGCACAATTTGGACAAGGTCTAGGATCTGACAATGGGAGAAGATGGTTATGTAGGATTGAGAAGTTCAAAGAGAGGCCAGGGTGTTAGAAAGAAAGATGAGAAGTTTATAAGTAATTTCCCACAGATGTGTCCAATTGGGCAAGGGGTTTGGAAAGAGGCAAAGTCATCCCAATAGCATTTAACTACCACCTCACCAGTTCTAAAATCACTCCATAGCATTCTAATTCTTTCTTTGCATCTATAATGGTATCATTGTCTCATGACATGCATCCAGGTTTCTCTTCAGTCAGTGTGAAAAAAGGAGGCGCGGCTGCAATTCAGCCGGAGGAGACTGTGGATCACACCTCTTTCTCAGCTGGCCTGATTGCTGGGGCAGGACAAAGCAGCAGAACTCATGTGTCTCACTTTCCTAGTCTACCCCACCTTTTTCTCTAACTCTTGGAGTTGGGCCAGAATTCTTTCCTTTTCTTCATCAGCTTCCTGAAGTTGGAGATCTGTAAGGCCTTGGATTTCCTCCATACTTTTCAGGTTTTCTTGCAAATAGTGAATTTCATTCTCCAACTGCTGGATCCTTGCTTCATGTTGCCTCTTATCCAAATTAATCTGTGAGGAAATGGGAGTTTCAGAGATGATTTTTAAGCAAAACTATGTTTTAAGCAAAATAAAAGCTTTTGAGGGAATTATATTTCATTTTACTAAAAAATGTAACAAAATTTTGCACTCAATAGTTACTGGGGATGGTTTTCTCTTGAATATTCTCTAGCATCCATTTTAATGCTTGTCTCATTAAATAATTACATCAAGAAAAATCCAATTCTGGCACCATACTATACTCCAGCAATGTGACATTATTTGCCTGCATGTTAAGAAACATCTCCCTGGCTTCTAGGACAAGGAAAACAGTTTCACAAAGAAGCCTGATTTTAACATCAGTAGCCATATTCAGGGTTGAATTTTAGTCACACCCAGCTTGACTTGTTATGATTGAAAATAACATTTATACTTCATTTACACGAGAAAGGGAGCATTGTAATTTGCTGAAAAAATTGAATATTTGCCAAACACTTCCCTCCAGCTGCCTCTTGCCCTTTTCTTACTCTTGCTTCAAGGGCTCTCTCACAGGCCTGCCTGAACTCTTCTTGTCCATTTGCCAGTTTCTCTTGTTGCAGAGCCATTTCTTCTTGAAGTTTTCTCTCTCTTACTTGTGCTTCCTCTCTTTCCCACTGGGAGCATGCAAGAATTTCACTGAATTGTTTCTGCAAATCAGCAAGACTTTTCCCTAAGACATCTGAAGGACTATGGATTCTGGTAAGGGAGAAAAAAGATGGTATAAATGTGACATTTTATTTTGATGCTAGATGTCGGGTACAAACATGCTGGTAATATTAGTGCAGGAATAAAAAAAAGTTGTATGGAATGGGACTGGTGTCAATCCGTAACAACTTATTGAGCATCTCCTAAGTGCAAACCATTGTTTTATCAAATGACTCTGTTACCCTAGAAACACAGGCTAAAATGACGTTTGCTCAAAGAATAAATGTCCATTTCATATATTTAAATTAGCCTTAGTTTCATCTGATATTTTGTTCTCTATTTAAAGTAGGAGAACATAGTGTCTCTACTTCCTAACCATATGCAATGAACTTTCTGGAATTACTCTTAAAACCTTTATGTTTTTAAAATGAAATAAAACCAAAAAGTATAAAATATTTAATATGTAAAAAAAATCAGTGACAGACGATTTGATTAAGCAATCTTTTGTCTCAACTATAGAAATATGATAAAGGAAAAGCTTACAAAAGAACTCAGCCATTTTACAGTACTGGGAAAGGTGAGTTCATCACTAACCCTCACAACTCGGCCCACCGTATTCTTGGAGGTCTTGATTTTCCATTACCTCATTTCCCCAGCTCCTGACTTCAGTTTTCTCCGTAGCTCATCGACACGAGCTGCCACTTCTTCTGGATGAATCAAGCCATCAACCACATGGTTAAGGTGGTTCTGAAAATCTTTAAGTTGCTGTTTCAATAGGTTATTGTCATCCTGTGAAGGAAGGTAAAATGAGGAGGTAAGTTAGCAAAACAAAATTAAAAATATACCCACATACACATATAGACCCTGTATTACTTACCATATGATAATTTTATTCAACACCTTTTACTAATTATTTTAACTCTTTCCACTCGGACTAACAATATCTGAATCTACTGATCAATCTAAAGTCACAAAAGACACAACCAGGCACTTATGATGTCTCTTGATGTGATGCAAAAAGACGTTCTTATGAACACTACTTATGAATGTCTTCTTGCCAAAAACTAACTTGAATCTAAATAAGCCTCCAGCCCTAGCCGGTTTGGCTCAGTGGATAGAGCGTCGGCCTGGGGAATAAAGGGTCCCAGGTTTGATTCCGGTCAAGGGCATGTACCTTGGTTGTAGGCACATCCCCAGTAGAGGGTGTGCAGGAGGCAGCTGATCGATGCTTGTAACTCTCTATCCCTCTCCCTTCCTCTCTGTAAAAAATCAATAAAATATATTTTAAAAATAAATAAATAAATAAATAAATAAGCCTCCATATGTAACATAATACCATGGAATGCAAACAGCAAAATCTAGAATATGAAAAACTATTAAATGTATTTCCCTACCTACCTGAGTGATCAATTTACTTCAAACTCAGTGTAACACCGTGAACTAAAATATAGAGAATTTAGAATTACAATGAACTTGTTAAGTGCCTGTCATACCTAGAGTCATCTTATCTGTAAACTGTCCCTGCCCAATGCCCTGAAGTGGCTATATTTATACTATTGTCTAATCCTGGCCACAGGTGATCTGACCCAAGGTCAGCCAATCCACTGAAAACAAGTTCTCACTCTTTCCAGATACTGAACCAATATCCAGTACAGCAAGTCTGCATAAGAGCTGGACCTACAAAAATATGCCAGCTCAAGGCTGAAATCCATGTTGGAGCACATGCAATGCCCAAACAGATAGAGAATGACAAATGAGAGGGCTGTGAAGCCTCTGAAAGATTGTTAGAACAGCTCTGGTTCTTGGTAAGCCATCTCCTTTCTTGGGGTAGTGTTAGTAGGTTTCAATTCACTGCAACTAAATGATTTCTGACAAAGACTGGTGAGGAGAGTTTAACTTGAACTCTGTAGCAGGTTAGTAGGTTAAATAACCAGAGAAATGAGTTCTAAGATAGTCTCACAGCCTGGGCCAGCATCCTGGAAAGCTGGCTTCAGTTTCTACTTTGGAGAAGGCCCCTGAAGAATAGACTTTAGTCCTTTTCTTTAATAGACGTATACTGAAGTATTTATGAGTACAATAAAGATGCATGAGATTTTCCTTAAAATATTCCAGGAAAAAAAAGCACACTAACTGAAACAGAATGGCAGAATGTTGAGAATTGTTAAAGCTGGATCAATAAAAGGTCATAAGACTGTTCTCTTTTTTGTGATTATTTGAAATTTTCCACAATAAAAATAAAAAAATAATCTGATGAACACCCAACACATACACACACAGAAATAGAAAACATGTACATCTTTTATGTTATTTGTTTCAGGAGTTGAACTGATAGGAGTAAAAATTAAATTCTAGGTTTTTAAATTTCCTTAAACTTTGAGGAAAAAATATTCAAGGCATTGGAGAAAGAGAATTTGGATGAGCTTAGTCTTATTCGTCACAAACCTACATGACTTTTTGGAAGCTTTTTGGAAGCTTTTCCCAAACCAGAGCAACTCTGCCCCTTCACTTCTGGGGTAGGGTAACAGCTGCCACTCCAGTCAGCCAAGCGGCCCCTGACCTCACAGATTTGAAAACTGAGTATTGACCCAGGTACCTGGTTCAGACATTTGTCCTCTTTGAGAGTTTAATTATCTGGAAAATCCTGTCCACCTGTTTCTCCTGCAGTTGGTCACATCATTGTGACAACAGCTATAAAAATATTTGGCCAAAGAAAACTTCCACTAATGCAAAAAGAATGCATTTTTAATAGCATTCTTTCGGAGACAGGGATTGTAAAAACTGTTTATAGTTAAGAAGTTCTACTGCAGCCCACTCTAGTTAAATTCCTGGATAGATATTTCAGTGGAAAGAGAAGGAACCAATCTGATAACTTTAGTTCAGTCTGATGACAAATGTGCTTCTAGGAGAAACACGAGATACTGCTTTTGCCCATGAGTTTTTGAGATATTGCTCTTGCCCATGAGTTTACACTGACATTGCCTCCATTTCTTTGCACCATCATAACACCACTAAGGATATGCACATTAATAATTTTAAAACAATGGGCTCACAAGGGAACAGAGACTCTCTTTCATACTGTCCCACTTAGAATTTCTTTTTTCTAACTAGAGGCCTGGTGCACGGATTCATGCACTGTTGGAGGACGTGGCCTGCGGGGATCGGCCCACTGTGGGAGCGCCGCTCATCTCGGTCAGCCGAGCAGCGCTCCCACTGTGGGAGTGCATTGACCACCAGGGGACAGCTCCTGTGTTGAGCGTCTGCCCCCTGGTGGTCAGTGAGCATAATAGCAACTGGTCGACAGGTCATTCTGATCGGTCCGCTGTTCGGCTGCTGGGCTTTTATATATATAGATAATTCAAGTTGCTTACTACATGTTAGAGCAGATTGTCAAGTTGCTGACTAATGATGTCAACATTTTCAGTGTCCCATGTAAGAATATATTCTATACCAGTGATGGCGAACCTATGACACGTGTGTCAGAGGTGACACGCGAACTCATTTTTTTGGTTGATTTTTCTTTGTTAAATGGCATTTAAATATATAAAATAAATATCAAAAATATAAGTCTTTGTTTTACTATGGTTTCAAATATCAAAAAATTTCTATATGTGACACGGCACCAGAGTTAAGTTAGGGTTTTTCAAAATGCTGACACGCCAAGCTCAAAACGTTCGCCATCACTGTTCTATACCAGCAAATCTCTACCTGCAGCTGTTTAAGTTGCTTGCGGAGCTCACTATTTTCTTGGTCCTTTTCTTCTGAGAACTGGGCTTTTCCGAGGGCATCCTTGAGGGCTTGCTTCTCCTTCTCAAGTTCTGCTTGAAGGGCTAGTTGTTCTAACTATTGCCATAAGAAGCAATGATATGAAAACACAAAATAACAATAATTTATTATCTAAAAAGGCAAAAAGAAATTTACATATATATGCAGTCCCTTGCTAGCTATGGTTTTATAACAACTCAATTTTAGGTTTGTACTTCCAAATTTAAAGATCCAAGGTAATTTTTTTCACATGCCTCCTTAAATATTGATACTTAAAGGAGAGTAAGCATCAAAATCAGCTCAGCCCAGATACACCAAATCAGAATCTCCATGGGAATAGGGGGCCCAGTACCTCCTTTCAAAAGCTCTGTGAGTGATCCAACAATTACTGCTCTACTTCCCCTTACACCAATACTTCTCAAACTGTGGTCCTCAAACACCTGCATCAAAATCCTTGGTGTGCGTCTAGCCGGTTTGGCTCAGTGGATAGAGCGTCGGCCTGTGGACTCCGGGGTCCTGGGTTCGATTCCAGTCAAGGGCATGTACCTTGGTTGCGGGCACATACCCAGTAGGGAGTGTGCAGGAGGCAGCTGATCAATGTTTCTCTCTTGTCGATGTTTCTGACTCTCTCTATCTCTCTCTCCCTTCCTCTCTGTAAAAAATCAATAGAATATATTTAAAAAAAAAATCCTTGGTATGCCTGTTAAAAATGCATAAGCCTTGCCCTGGCCAGGTAGCTGAGTTGGTTAGAGAGTCTTCCCAATACAAGGTTGAATGTATAAATAAATGGAACAACAAATTGATGTCTCTCTCTCTCTCTAAAAAAAAAAAAAAAAAAGAAGCATAAGCCTGGACTCATCTCAGACTTGATGGACCAGAATACCTAGGGTGGGGCCCTGGGATCTATACTCAACAAGCTTCACAAGTGATTTCACATAAGCAAATGTACCAATCAAGACCTATAGAACAAAGAGAGATCCGTTATGCTATCTACCATTACTGTGTGCTTTGAAGATCAATCCTGGCAGTCCGAATGCCAAGGAAGGGAGTGCACCCTTCAATACCAAGTGAATTTGTAAAAAGGCCAAGGTGTTATATTTTTGTCAAGACTTATGAGGAAAAAAAATAAAGGACAATGAAAGTACAAAAGACAATGGATTTCAAGCTAAGGGATGAATTAAAACTAAAAAAAAAATGATTTGAAAGCAGATACCATCTAGAAATTTTATTCACTATTATTTAAAATATGTATTTACTGTTATTTTGTTTTCCCCCAATCTTCTATTTTCTGCACTTTGACCATAGCACTGTAGTCCACCCCCCCTCCCCAATGTTGTTATCAATTGTAGTTTTGTAAAACTTGATAATCTTAAAAAATATAATCCTGACAATTGGCAAGTGGTCATTTGATATCTGATTAAGGAATACAAAATAATTACTATAATAAGACCTATTTTTGCTTCCTTTTCTAATCATCCAAATGCTATTTCACATAAATCCTGGGATTCAAACTACCTTATTTTATTTCACTTTCATTGAATAAGACCATATTAACTCTCCCTCATGTTCCAGTCTGTTTCTGAAAAAACAACAGAAACACACACTATGCTCTGAATCTGGGGGGGGGAGGGGGGGGGGGGATGGACAATGTAAACAAATGATCACCAGACACATGATCAAGCACAAGGTTATTGGAAAACTAAAGCAGAATCCTGACTCATATTTTTAGCAGGCAGACAGTAAAGGTCAGGGTGACCCTGAACCTGGAGGAAGATGCAGTCCATTTGGCTAAGTGCTACACAAATCTCTATTTTTAATCTGATAAAGAATATACTATACTATAACTGGCCTCTGTCAGCCTCTCTGCCTTTATCTCTCACCCTCTTTCCCTACTCCTCTCCTTGCTCCTGGGATACTAGAAGTATACTTTCAGCACTTTAAATGCACTATGCTCTTTGTCTTCGCCTCTACGCCTACAACACTTACCCTTTTTACCCTTACCACTTTCACCCCACTCCTTATGCATGTCTTGGCTGAAACATCATTTCTGTAGAGTAGTCTTCCCTGACCACCCCTCTCCCAGCCACAAAACCCTACCCCTTTCTTTCTCCCACACTCATTTCACTACTGGACTGTCAGTTTCACAAGGACAGTGACCATGTCTGTGCTGCTCTCTGCAACATTCACAGCACCTGGCCCTCAATGGTCAATCAGTAAGTATTTATGGATAAATAACTATTTGTCTAATTTGCAAATATAATTTAAATGAGTGGATATTTCATCCAACCAAAATACAAAGTTGCAAAATAAAATGTAACATCAACTTAAAAGAGGTCTCTTAAAGCTGTTTTGAGAAAGACTAGAATTTAATGAATACTAACTGCTAGGTGCTTTCATGCCCATTATCTCCCTTATCCTCATCATAACCATTTTACAGAGGAAGAGGCATTTGTCAGAGACTCCGAACAATGAAGTGATTTATACTTGTTCACATAGGGGTAGTATTTGAACTCAGAATATCTGACTTCAAAAATATGCTCTTCCCATCACTCCACATATATTATATTAAGAAGTATTCAATTTGCCCTAACCGGCTTGGCTCAGTGGATAGAGTGTCAGCCTGCGGACTGAAAGGCCCCGGGTTTGATTCCAGTCAAGGGCATGTACCTTGGTTGCGGGCACATCTCCAGTAGGAAGTGTGCAGGAGGCAGCTGATCGATGTTTCTCTCTCACTGATGTTTCTAACTCTCTATCTCTCTCCCTTCCTCTCTGTAAAAAAATCAATAAAATATATTAAAAAAAAAAGAAGTATTCAATTTTACATTACATTAAAGGAAGACTGATATGTTAAGGCCACAGACTACTTAGTTTCTAGACAGCTTTATGCTCTTACTTACCTGGTTAAGATTTGTTAGTTTTTCCATGTCTTCCTTGAGCTGATTGGCTTCAGCATCACGTATTTTCAGCTGAGCCTCGAGCTCAGCCTCATAGGCACTGAGATCTCCCTGGGTCTGCTGCAGAGATGCATTCACCTCATGCTGCTCTTGGAGAGCGCTTTCTAGCTCTGCAAGCTCCTGGAAGGATTCAGGGTATGTTGAACTACAAAACCATCACTGTGCTGCTTAAGCACCTGCAAATCATTATAAGTAACTTGATCACAGTAAACCAAATGCTGGCCAGCCTGGCACAGAAAGTGTTCATTAGCAATATCATGAAGCCACAGGCTGGGCCAGGCTGAAAAGTAAATGTAATCAGAAATGTAATCTGACTAAATGCAATCAGAAAAACCAGTAAGCTACCAACATGTTTCCTAAAGTGTAATATTTTAAATGTACCTGAACAGGTAAAAAAAAAAAAAAAAAAAAAAAAAAAAAAGAAGAGGGAGAGAACAATAACATTTAAAACCTATTTTCTATCAGACACTGGAATAAATGTTTTCACATTCATTATTTCATCTCATCTTCATAATTACTGTGTATGACAAGATATTATTATTTTTGTTGTTTTCTCCCAATCTTCTATCTCCAGTTAGGAGAATGAACACCTGAGTAGATGGCATGAGGCTGTGGAGCTAAAAAAGACACAGTCAGAATATGAGCTGAGATCTCTGACTCCAAAGCCCACACTCTTTATATTAAACCACAGTATGTTCACTTATCAGAACAAAATGGGATGAGCACTCTCAAATATTAAGGATAACAGAGTAACTTAAATGAGTAGCTAACAAGCATACAAGTACATATTGATCAGCATACCTCAGTTCTGAGTCATTTTATCCCATCTGTATCCCATTTTAATTAAACATTACAGCTTCCATCTACTTATTTGGGATCTTATTAAAGAATTAGATCAAACTATTTTGGATTAAAGAGGGGGATCCTACAATGAGAACTTCTATAGAAGAGTTTCTCAATGGGTGGTCCAAAAAGCACATTTGAATCAATTGGGTTGCCTATTCGAAATGCAGACTCCATCTATAATCAACAAAGGATTAGTATCCATATATATAAAGAATTCCTATAAATCGTTAAGAAAAAGACAAACAATCCAATAGAAAAATGGGCAAAGAATATGAATAGGGAATTCAATGAAGAGAACACTGAATGGTAAATAAACAAATGAAAGGTGCTCAACCTCTCCAGTAAACCAGAGGGAAATGAAGTTAAAAGAAGACACTATTTTGCCCTAGCTGGTTTGGCTCATTGGCCTGCGGACTGAAGGGTCCCGGGTTCGATTCTGGTCAAGGGCACATGACTGGGTTGTGGGCTCGATCCCTAGTAGGGGGCGTGCAGAAGGCAGCCAATCGGTGATTCTCTCTCATCATTGATGTTTCTCTCTCTCTCTCTCTCTCCCTCTCCCTCTCCCTTCCTCTTTGAAATCAATAAGGATAAAAAAAATATTAAAAAAAGACACTATTTTATACAGAGCACAGAAAACATGTTAAACACACTATGAAGAAACAATCAGACAAATCTGTAATGTGGGACACTCTAGGACTACCACCTGGACACACATACCCAACACACAAGCTATAAGAGATATTCTTGGCACAACTGGGAAAATTTGAATATGGTTCAGATATTGGATGACATTATGGAATTATTGTTAATTTTCCTAGGTGTAATAGTGGTATCATAGTGATGTATGGGGAAAAAAGTCCTTATTTTTAAGAGATGTGTACTGAAGGGATGGATGATGTCAAACAATACTACATATTGCTTCAAATGCATACATCTATATATGTAAAAGGCTAACATGCAAAGTGTCCCCTCAAGAGTTCAACCGAGAGACCAGGAGTTCGATCACTCCCTATGATGTGCGCTGACCACCAGGGGGAGGCACGGAACGAAGGAAGGACCCAGCCAGCAGCCAGCAGCCAGGGAAGGAAGGCCCTGGCTGGCAGCTGGAAGACCCCAATCGGTCCTGATCAGGGGCCAGGCCTAGGGACTCTACCCATGCACAGATTTTGTGCACCAGGCCTCTAGTATGTAATAAGAGAGATGCAGGGAAATAACCATATTCAGGATTTTGTTAGCTATGGAATGGGATACACAGAGAGTTTCAACTATATCTGCAATGTTTTATTTCTTAAGCTGAATTGTGAGTACATGGTGTTAAATACTAAATTTGGTATTTTTATAGGCCTGAAAATTTTCATGTTAAAATATTCAAATTTCCAGAGCCAGCCCTACTGAGGATGAGGTTTGAGAACCTGGGTTTTCATGCATGATAATTTGCCAAACAACTAAAAAAGATAAAGTGAAATCTAATAAATGGCAACAAATAAGGTAAAAAAGGGTATAATACTGTGTCTGTCTTATCTGTAAATTAATGTTAAATTATGAAGTAATGACAAAAAAATAAGAAAAATTATTGTACTTAATTTTAGGACTCAAATAATAAAATATGAACATCTAATACCACATTTATAATGGCCACAACTTCATATTACTTAGAGTTATTTGATAATATCTTCCAGGAACAGAAACTCAGCTAAAATAAGCTTCCATTCTTAGTAAAGGAAAAACAATAATTCCAAGTGTATCACAACTAAAGGAAAAAACAAGACTAAATAGCCACTAAATACTTTTTGCCACTTATAATTGCACTGTTGCTAACTTGTTTAGCTTACTTAATGTGGACATCATCTATTTCTGAGGCAAGGGAAAACAGAAAAGAAAAAAACAAATCATACCTTCCTCATATTTTCTGCATCTATGGCAACTATTTCCAGTTGGTCCCTCTCCTGCTCAACCTCGGTCAGTCTCCGCAGCAATGTCTCTTTCTCATCCTGTAGCTTCCTGCACTCATTCTGAGCCTGACTTGCCTGGCCTTTGACAGTCTCCAGGTATTCTTGCAACCCACTGATGACACCTTCTAAATCCTTCTTCAGGGCTTCATTTGCTGCTATCTGGCCTAAGACCAAAAAAAAAAAGGAGGGGGGGGGGAGGTAATAGTGTATATAAGAAAATGCTCTCAAGATATATAAATACCTAATTTAGACTCCTTAGTTATTTGTTACCAGCTAAGAATGAAAGTCTAAGCTTTCAATTATTTCCTACTACCTTATTTTTCTTTTCAAGATATGATAGTTTTCCCCATATTATCCCTAGTACAGGAGTATTAAGTAGGTATATAATAAAAATAGTATATTCAGTGAACATTGCTTATAAAATGCTTAATTCTTGCTGTAAAAAGTTTAAAATAGTAATTTCCAAATAAAATTAAAAATGTACACAAAACTGAGTTCTTGCTGCTAGATACACAAAACAAAAGCCACTCAACAAACAAGACTAATCCAAGACTGGGAATATAAACATGAAACCTGAAGACAAAAGAAACACACCAAAATAACCCCAACCATACATTAGGTACCTCGTATGTGCCAAGCACTTTATGAACATTATCTCACTTAATTTTCCCAACAACTAATGACCTAGACCAGTGGTTCTCAACCTGTGGGTCGCGGCCATTGGAAAACACATATAGCATATCAGATATTTACATTACGATTCATAACAGTAGCAAAATTACGGTTATGAAGTAGCAATGAAAATAATTGGGGTCACCACAACATGAGGAACTGTATTAAAGGGTCGTGGCATTAGGAAGGTTGAGAACCACTGACCTAGACAGTAATAATATGTCCCAGGTCACACAGCTGATAATACCAAAACAGAGACTGGGATCTTATGCCAAGCAAAGGCTCTCACCACTATAACCTTTCATCCTCCCCTTCCACGATGGCAATGTCACAATTTAAATGTGCATTGCAAAAGTAGATCCTAAAATTCTTTCTACACTTTCCTTGTAACTAGACACTGAATGCCCTGATGGCAATGGGCTCTTTACTCCTGAAAGGATTTTATGCCTTGAGGAAGACAATCACATGCCAGAGTTTATCATGATCATGTAGCTAACTTCTTGCCTACTGACTGCAATGACCTGACTCACTAGGGCATCAAAACAAAATTAAATAAATTTTAAAAATCTTTATTATATACTGTGTACTGTGTCAATATTTCCCTATCAAATACTAGCACTAAGAGCTGAAGCATATTCAGCTAATATCTGGATTAATGCTTGTCTGGGTGCCATTTGTTTTTAATACCAAAACTAATTTACCTTTAAATCAACTTAAATTCTCACCTTCAGTAAGCTGTTGTTCAAGGTCCTTAATCTCTTCAGTTTCTTTAGCAATTCTAGAAAGTATCTCATCCAAACGGCTTTCAAGTTGTTTGTACTGCTTGTTCATAATGTCAAGCTGTTGTTCTTTACCCCTTTTCTGAGCCTTCATATGGCACTGAATTGAAAAACAAATACAAAAAACTCTTTTAAAAATAATAATCTTTAACATTTCTAAAGGAAGACTGGAAAAATAAAATGTAACAATTTGCATATGTTGTGTGTCAGGCCCTGTGTTTTTTTCACATGAGTTTTCATTTAAACCTCATAATGACTTGATGTTGGAACCACCTCCATTTTAGAGATGAGCAAATTGTGTATAAAAGAGGGTAAGGGCACAATTAGTAGGTAATGCTCAGAGTTCATTGATCTGCATTAAAATATGTTTCTTTAAAAAGGTTTCCAAAAAGTTAATTGATTACCTATACATCTAGAAGAAGAATATATTCCAAATGTTAACAAGGATTATATCTGGGTGGAAAGATTACAAGAGGCTTTTTTCTTTTTTTTATGAGTTTTGTATTTTTATAATAAACAAGTGATACCTTTTTAATAAAAAAAAAAACATGTACTTTTAAAAAAGATTTTTTACAGAATAGGGACATGAAATGAAAACTTACTTGAAATTCAAGTTTATTTTCAATTCCTTACACAACAACACATTTTGTTTTTAGGTTCCATAAACTGGGAGCTCAGAGGGACCTCAAAGATCGTATAGACACAGTGATTCTCAAGATGGACGACCAGCCCTCTGGAGGCAAACTCCTCAACTAACTACATATTCACCTGGTGGAAAACAGAGCTTTCCCACCCATACACCATCGCACAGGAGTCCATTTAAGGAGCTACTGGTAACTGAAAAGATTGGATTGTATTTCTCAGGTGTGCTGGGGGATGGGGAGGGGGAAAACTGACAACTAGGGAGTAGTCTAACTCTTCCTTTTACACATGAGAAAACTACGTCTCAGATTCATCAAATGACTTGCCCAGGTTATTTGGAGACTGTTCATATGGAAACAAAATAATTCCCCAGAGAATCTTTTCCCTCTGACTATCACCTCACAGGCTCTAACCCCCCTCCCCAATCAGAGGAAAAGAACAATAAATCAAGTTATCAAGAGGAAGAACTACATTACAGTCTAAACAACAAACTCCAAGATTCAACTGATTATAAATGAGCATTTTTCAAGTTTAGAAGTCCGTTGTCTCCAAAGACAAGAACAAATGAATGGCAGCTTGATCAGAAGGTTTTAAATGTACTACTGGTAAAACTTGATGGGATTTTCAAAACTCTTCTTTTCCCTACATTCCCAAAATATCCATCCGAAATCTTTCTGAAAAGGTAACTGCAGGTACAGCTTAAATTCTAAGTAAATTTAGGATTTTTATGGCTCAAGAAAGAAAAAAAACTCCTGCATTCATATCTCTATCAATAAATCTTTAAAATTCACCATTAAAAATTTAACTGAAATCTTTTTACACGCAGGACAAAACGTTGGTTCAACATGCCCATGATTTGCATTATACATGGGAGCAAAAGCAGATACCACGGATTTTCGATACGATGGAGCTCACAAAAGAATTATTGTAAAAACAGGAACTTACATATGACTCCACCTCTTTTTAAGCCCTTTGTAGAGAGAAAATGCTCCTACCTTAACTTAGAATTAGTCCTGTTAAAACTGAGCCGTTGAGAACAAGGAAATTGTGGGCGGAACGCTTTCTAATGTCTTCAAATTTTAAGTGCACTTCCCTCTCTGACAGCCACATTTTTGTAAGCGCCTCCAAGCCTCAGTAACTTCCCAACTCTTCAAACCACATTCCGGGCCAAGAGTGAGTGGCAGCCCAGCTGGCCCAATCACCAGCAGCCTCCGTCAGTCCCACAACACAGGAAGCTCCTGAGGGCCAATCACGCACACTCTTTGCAAAAGATTACTACAGGCTAAATCCCCACAGAGTATAGTTACCGTTTGCTTTCACAGGGCATGGCCATATAGGGAAGAGCCATATAAATCCTCCTTTATTATTTGCTCCTGTGATATATGTGCTACTAGCTATGACCATTTTTTATAACCAAAATGGGATTTGATTTTTAATGTCTTTTTCTTTTGAAACCTAGTTAAATATTTATGTTTGTTGAAAACTTGACAGGCTCAGTTAAAAATAATTAATCTCTTTAGACCTTTAATTCCTTTGTGGGAAGAGGGTCATTGTAACAGAATAAGCACCAGCTCTACCTCTTCCTAAAAGGGTGAGTGTGGGAAATCATTTAATTTTTCTAAATCACATTCTCATCTTCTGCAAATGGAAAAAGAAACATCACCTGATATAGGAATGCTATGATAAAGTTCCTCACCAGTATATGCAAAAACCAGTATTGTTGGCATTTAATATATTTGCTTTCCATCATATCTCAGAATCATATACTGTTTTCTAATCTCTCAAGCTTTTACTTTTAAATTATATTTGTTATTCAGAAAGATACCTCATCTAATTAGATAAAAATTAATTGAATAAAAGTCTATCTACATCTGGAAAAAACATGTAGGGATCCCACTCTTGATTCTATCCCTTTTGCTAAAATGTTCATATGTGTAGCCTAAAATGGGGTGTCTAACACTAGCCAATAAGGCGACTTTGTGCTAATTAGAAAAAGTTGCTCCCTCTGGTGAACAAATTAAAAAGAGACATCCTCTGGTGTTCAGACTAAAGCTGTAACCTTAAGAACTAACCTTCAGTAGTTTAAACAATACCAAAAAAACCCCTTAAATCTGGTTTCTATGTTTCATCCCCACTAACACAAATTGATTTTGACTACCTTCAAAACTTGAATGCCATTCTTACTTCTCATTTAACTCCTTTCAATATGTAACTCTTTACATAAATACAGTGAGCATTAGACTCCCTGTCTGCCAGGAACATCTCAGTCATTTATTGAAAGCGAACATACAATCTAGGTTCTAATTAGATTCATAGATCGCAGAACTGAAGAGGCAACAAAGGAGCCTGAGGTAGTACCTATAAGCAGATTCCTTCCTACTTTCCATGATGCAAGCATGCATAAACATAGGGCTGGCCCCTGGGGATACAGTTCCAATCCTCAGGGGCCTCACATGGGGTGGTAAGACTTCTGAACAAATAAATGTAATAAAATAATATATTACTGACCATATTACACACATTACTCAAAACCTCTAGTATTTCATATACCGAAAATTATTTAAAATAATCAACTTTCGGTTTCAATTTTAATACTAAGTCTTAGGCTTTTGTTAGAAAAGACCTAAATCTATGGTGATAAGGTCACCTTTTGTCAAAATTAGCTGGTCTGCAAAAAATATCTATGATATCGTACAAAAATATTTAAAGGAATAATTAAAAACTTGTCAAATACTTAAAGCAATTATAGTGCATTGTCCTTGCCATGTTAAATTCTATGATTTCTCTTGATCCAGAGATCTTAACGTTTTTTAAAAGCACCCTTTATTCAAAGTATATCATTAAAACATGCAGAAAATATTTTCACTTCTATTGTATAAATATTGGCTAAAATATAAGCCATTAGTAAGACTTCTCAGGGTAGAGACAGAAAGAGACAAGAACCTAACTCCATCATCCAGCCACCTGACCACCTCTGGCCACATTTTAGGAATACATACTCTAAGAAATGTTTCCTTTTTAAGGACAAAACAAAATAAATTAAACAATAAATAGCTTTAGTGGAATATTTACATAAAAAATTAAAGAAGAGGTAGAAAAAGGACTCTAAACCCACTTCCGTTCTTCTATCTCACCACCTAGCTCTTAAGAAAGAAAAACAATAAGGCAAAGAGAGAGAAAGGATAAGAGGTTTAGAGAGCACCTTGGAGCAGGTTTCTCTTGACTTGAAATATAATGAAATTCAACCACTTAAAAAAAGGTAAGTATACCAATGCAACCCTCATTCTACTAAAAGCTACCTTCTTCAAACCCTAGGTTGTTGTGTTTTAAACACACATACATATTTTTATATATAAGTATGTGTATATATACACATACATACACATATGTATATATACAACACATATATTATATATACACATATATAAATATATATATTACTCAAATTTGTACATCAAGCTAAAAAAAGAATTTCAGAAAAGATTCTGTGGCTAAAAATGATGAGGCATAATAATGAGACATAATATGTAGATAAAATTTTATTCTAGTCCCCATAGAATAAGCCAAAATCTCTTCATTTACTTACATGTTTTGGGTCTTCAAAATCCAAGCTATCTATGGCTATATGAAGGTCTTTAATCTCCTTCTGCTTTTTAGCAATTTCTTGCCTTTGCTTCTCCAACTGCATTTCTAGATCCAGAGCTTCTTGGCGTAATTTATTTAGAAGTTGTATCCTACCACTCAACTGCTTGAAAAGAAGGTCTTTCTCTGCTTCTGAAACCTAATCCCCCACACCAGAACACACAATTAACAGAGGATAGCAACACTGATTTACAAATTTAAAGAAAACAACTTTTACAATTTAAAGGCATTCTATGCTCTATCAGTTCTTTAAACAACAGTAAAATGTAGGAGTTATCTAGGCATTTGTATCTTACACTTTTATGCTCCGTATATATAGGAAATCTTATTTTATAAAAGTTTATGAAAACTAATAAAGTTTTATAAAATAAGTAGGTAAAAATGAAGTTGTCACTCTAGTATAAGCAACTTGTAAAGTATTAATAACCATATTAATAGTAGCTGACTTTATACAGTACTTACATTGTACTTACCCTTGTTATTAGCATGTGAAGCAAATTAATAGTATCATGAAAAATTTATATTTATACTCATTTAAAATAACTACTTTTACCAAGCACATTTTGTTTAAAAATCATGTCCATTATTTACATCTATCAATCTAGCTATATAAAACTTTAGCCAGTACTATTATAAAACATTCTTATTTATTAAAATCATTCTTGTTAGCTCCTTACACCTCGTCTCCCACTTTCTTTTTTCTTTTTTGTTTTTAATACTCATTGGAGGATATTTTTTTCCATTGATTTTTAGAAAAGCGGAAGAGGGCAGGGGATGGGGAGAAGGGGGAGGAAAGGGGGGGGGGAAACATTGATGTGAGAGACACATCAATTGTTTGCCTCCCACACATACCCTGACTGGGGCCAGGGATTTAACCTGCAACCCAGGTATGTGCTCTTGACCAGAAATTGAACTGGAGACCATTTGGCATAGAGTGGGGAGGAGTGAAGCTCCAACCACTGAGCGGCACTGGTCAGGGCCATCTCCCACTTTCAATCCATCTTTAAGATCTATCAATCAGTTCTACTGCCAGATTTTACCTAGAAGCAGTTTGCTTTCTCTCCATGCTCACCATTTCCTTCCTAGTCCAAGCCATTATCAACTCTTGCCTATATAAATAGCCTAACAGTTGCACACAACTCCATTCTTTCCACCTCTCACTTCACTCTTGCAGAAGTCCTTCAAAGGTTTCCCATTATAATCAGAACAAAATTCAAACCCCTTAAAATGGCCTATGAAGCCTGGCATGGTCTTTAACCTCATCTTCCACTATACTCTCCCTCACTCTGTAGAGCAAGCATGTCAAACTCATTTACGAGGCATGCACCCTGCCGGCCATGAGTTTGACATGCTTGTTGTAGAGGAATCTTTAGTTTGAAGGTCTTTGCACACACTGTCACCTCTGCCTGAAATACCTGTCTCCTAACTCTGCCTTGCAGGCTCTCTCTCATCCTTTGGGTCTCAGCCTAAATATCACCTCTTCAGAGAGGCCTTTGTGGGTCCCCACAATTTAAATTATATCCTTTTTATTGTCTCTTCTAATTTTCTATTTTTTTCCTACAACACTTATATTGTTTAACTATACATTTCTTTTTTACTTTTTTTCACTTGCTTATTACCTATTTCTTGTCTATGAGGAAGGGACACATATCTGTTTTGTTCATTTACTCAGGGCCCATTCAGCAACTGCTATATAGTAAGTTTCCAATGAACTTGAATCAATTTGGACTTTACATTCTTGTTTTACCTATTATAGTAATGAATGCAATTACCATCAAAATTCTGAAATACTGATTTTTAAAAGCTGCAAATACCAAAAACCTTTTATACACTTAAAAACTAAAATGTCAAATACTTCCTTTTTTGAATTTTCTCCCTATGCAATTACACCATGAGTTTGAACTGCTTACTTCTTCATGACACATTTTGTAATTCCTGAGAGTGTATCACTTCCATCTTTTTGTACCCCATACTTTATATAATTTACATTTCTGCTGCTTGCTTGATAATGGTCATAGTGTAGTAGAAATGTCTTCTGGCTCTTAATCTAGATCCCAGGATCTTAAAGGTAAGGAGTGCTTAATTAAATTAGGAGATATATCAGGAAGCAACTTCCCTGGTAATATAGGTGCTTTTATAGTAAGAGTAGACCAAATACATCTTTTTCCATAAATCATAAGTAATTTATTTCTACAACTTTATAAAATGCTAACAGAATGTCATCATGATTGAAAGAAAAATGTAATTGGAAATGCTAATATCATATCTGACTCTGAAATCTGTTATTCCACAATTAATTAGGCAGCACTAATTTAAGAATTGTTTTACAGGGTTATGAAGATATACAATACAGTTCATTTTTTACGTTTTCTCTTAGCATTGCTGCTTTGCTTTTACATACTTTTTTAAGCTGTATAGCTTCTTCCAATTGTTTAAATTCTTCAGTAGCTCTTAAAATTTGTTGTTCTGCCTTTTCTATTTCATCATGCAGTTCCAACAGTCGAGTTTGTGCTGCAAATTTAAAACCATGCACACAGACACACACAAGAAAAATCTTAAATTTTCAAAGTTCTACCAGATTTTTAAAATTCACAAAAACCTCCTTCCCCCAGTTAAAATTATAGATTATATTAAATTATATATCACAGGAATAAAAGAAGTAATTTCCTATGATGGTTTTCCTCACCATTAATCTTTGGAATCGTTTTATGATATGTTATATAACTATAATTGATCCTTTAATTTGTAAAATTCTTAACATAAAAGGGGCTTTATTGGATAATTCAAACATTAAAGAACTCTTGAGAGAATAGGATTTTATTGGTAAATATGCACTTACACATCTAAGTTAAAATTAGGCTCAAGCTATTTTTAAAAACCTGTGTTAGAGCGACTCAATATCAATAAATTCACTACTGAAGAGTCTTACTCAGCTAAAGTGATCTCAAATCAATTACCTTCTACCTCACATTTCCACCTTCTTTCCCTCCCTCTCTCCCTGACTCTTATAAAATGATGAGCCCCTTAAAGCTAGTCTGCACAAATGTTTGACTTACTTTTGCTTTCCCCTCTGGAGCCTGGCATATAGTATATATCTAGACATGGACTACTCAGTCTCTTTACTTCCCTCTCCAAGTCAACCTCTACTGGCCCTCCATATTTTCCATTTAGCTACCACCAAGGGAAGATGATCTGATTGGTGAAAGCCCCATAATGGGCCATGGTTACTAGTGGGATGCATGAACTCAGGTCTGCTTTCTCCTTCTTTCATATCCATGCAGCTGAGTGGGTAAGTGGACTCAAAGTTTGTCATTGTCAAGGTCTCTAAGTGCCCTGTTGGATTAATTACTTCTTTGTGACTTGCCAGGAGGTGGTAAGATCCCTTGAATTAGATGTTTTGGGGTTGTGGGGGGGTGGGAGAGAAGTTTGAGGAGGTGGAATGTGGGACAGGTTGGGAAGAGTCAAAGGCCAGCCTCAGGCTCAAGCCTAAGGAGACTGCACTGACCCAGCTTATCCAAAGCATTGCTTTAGGTTTTGGCTACATGCATAGTAAAAAGTGGTACTTCACTTGCTTCAAGTATTACTAATTAGGCTTTTGAATGTATAGCTCCAATAGTGAGAAGGATCTGTTGGCAGGAGCAGATTTAAGCATTGTACCCCTGGATATATTCCCATCAAATTACTCTCAAAAACCTCATTTTCTACCATAATAGAAATTTTTTTAAAATCTGCTCAATAAATCACTACTTTTGTTTTAAACTTTTGATGTAAACAACAATTTAATAAATGCCTTCAGCATGTTAAGTAAAAGAATATACTAGTAAAACACAATTTGCCTACACATTCAACGTTTTTATATTTTTAAAGAATTTAAAATAACTTTTTAAAACCTGCACTTATTTTTCTTTCTTTGTCTTCCAGCTGTATGTCTAGTGGCATATGGGCTCTCAAGTTCTTCTGCTCATTTATAGGTTGTTCGTTTTCATCTGGCTCCATCTTCTTAATCTTTATTGGCTGGGCTTTATCAATAATGTAACTTTCTCTGGTAAACATATTTCTCTTGTATCTGGATTTGCCAATATAAGGGCTTTCATCTGGGGCTTTATCAATTTCAACATACTAAAAGCAAAATAAATTAACAGATATACAGTTTAATAAGTAACTTATAAGCAGTCAAGTGACATTATTCATTTTATTAGTGTAACATATCATGGAACTGCCTAAATTATAATCCTACATGCCTAGAAGTTAAAAAATATATATCATTATTCTATTCTTTTTTTAAAAATATATTCTTATTGATTTCAGAGAGGAAGGGAGAGGGAGACAGATATAGAAACATCACTGATGAAAGATCATCGATTGGCTGCCCCCTATTGGGAGATAGAGCCTGCAACCCAGGCATGTGCCATGACAGGGTATCGAACCTTGACCTCCTGGTTCATAGGTCAACACTCAACCACTGAGCCATGCCAACCAGGCCATTCTTTTATTCTTAACCAAAAAAGAACTAGAGCAAAAACTGGTCTCCAAGGATATCTCCTCCTATTTCTGAAAAGTAAGCTTGGATTGATAAAAGAACTACCTACAATTATGTGATTTTTAGCAGTGCTCTTTCAAATCAGAAATCTAGGTATTTTATTTTGGTTTCTTGGCTGATATATAAGTAAAATCTCAGTTTAATAAATTTTAATAATTGCATTTTTAACTAATAAGATGTTGGTTGGAATCACTGGGTCTCAGAAGTTAAGCTGCTTTTTTCTTTTGCAATAACATTTATGGCATTTGTATAAATAACGGTTGACTAATACTGACTGGACCAGTGATTATGGAACAATGTATAGTGATGACTATTCCATGATTGTCCAGCAGGCAGTGCACTTTTTCTGGAAGTTTAGGTTTAAGGGAGATGATCAGCCACACTCTTGAGTGAGGTAATTGAGGGTTGGAAAGCTGCTTTGGGCTATGAATACAGCTATAGGTAAAGATCCTTCTGGGCTTTTTACCTCTTTTGGATACTGCTCTACTTACTGAGCCAAATAATTCTCAGATTCAACCAAAATATACTCTGCTGATGCCCTCATAATAAGAAAATAGAGTGATTATTGATAAACTCCCTTGAAAGTCTCTACCACCTGCCCTCCTCTGCCCCACTATATGCTGGCTTTAACTTTGGATTACTAAAAGATTAAAACAACTCACCTCTGATGGATAATAATTTAGTGGCTCAAATTTGGCATCAATTTTATAAAAAGCCAATTCCTGTTCCAGCTCATACTGTTTCTGACATGCTCGCGTTAGTTCCATGGTCTTCTGTTTTAGCTATTGGCCCAATTTGATATGAGACAACATATAGTGTCAGTAAGTTAGTATAAAGATATAAAGGTACAATGGTTCTAATCATAATTAGTATATTGTTTTAAACCCCACAGCAAATAGCACAACATTCAGAGTATCTTATCATAATTCTAAAGTGTTATAAATAATGAAATACTAAAGTATCACTTAATAAGAGATCACATAAAAGACCTTTGAAGTTTATATGCTATTACAGGATACAATGAATGAAGATTTTAAAAATCATTTAAATTTTCTTTATCCAAACATGAAAATACCTCTGTATCAATAATTTTTAAGTAACTAGTCTACTAAGTACTTGCTTCCTGATTTCCCAATAATTAGAACTAATTTAACTCACTCTATGATTTTAATGATAGCTTCAAATCATGCAAGGAAATGTTACTTAACATCAATTATAAAGGAATCAGGAGGAGGAATAAGAAGGATGAAAATAAAAGTTTGGTTTTAAGTGCTGTACTGTTATTGCTGTAGTATTTTTGCTAATGGCATTTCAGTTTTAAGTATTCAGAATATTATTCTTTGTAGCAGAGGGTAAGGAATGTGAATTAAGATCAACCAGATCCAAATATGTCACATTAAATTTTTAATAAAGTAATTCTACTATAAATACAACTTTTTAGTTATTCTTAGAAATTTTTGGAGCTAGAATTTAAAAAATGATCCAACCTAATTCTCTGAATTTGTAAATTAAAAAATTGGGTCCCAGATTGGTGAATTGGCTTGTCAAAGTCACATATTAGATTAGTGGCAGAAGCTAAATAGTTTATTAACTATCAGTCCAGTCCCCTTTCTATTACGCCAATCCTTTGAGTTCATTTCAAAGGTCCACTAAGTGATGTTCACCTTTTTTTTTTTTTTTTTTTTTTTTCCTTTTTTTGGCGGTTTGATAGTAGATACCAGACCAAAAAACATGCAGAAAAAATCTATTAATATAAAACTGCAAGCTCAAGAGAATGGAAAATAAACAAACATAAACATTTTACAAGGCCCAGGGAATCAAAGTCGTGCATGATTTAGCTTACAGTCACCTCCTGATTATCCATCAAAGGAAAGTAATGCTAAGCTGGATAAGAGGTAATCTTGATCGAGTGTCTCTGTGTGCCAGACACTGTGCTAAGCGTAATACCTGTGCTTTCTCACTGAATCTTCACAAGTACCTTAAGTGACGATAAAAGCTACACAGAGAGGTTAAATATCTTGCCCAGTTGCACAGTGTGTTGTGGAAGAGGCAGAGTTCAATTCTAAGTCTCCTGGTTTCAAACCTAACACTGTCTATTTACTATACTATCTCCGATGTCCTGCTGCAGGGTTTCTAGCACATTACCCACATTGATGCTCTTTCAGTAAATGCTCATAAGTCCCCAAGTTTCAAGAAAGCAACTCACAATCAACAGTATCAACTAATCTTGGGCTCTGTCCTAAAGATCACTGGCAATAGGGCCAAACAAAGGCAAATATGACTGGAACCATGGAGAATGCATGGACTGGTCTCTGCAGGCAAATAATAAATACTCTATGCATCTTAAAACACCTTTGAGTCTTTTATAGCATTAGGTTTAGCATACAGTAAACATTCAATAAATGCCCATTGAGGAAATGCATAAACGAGAGCAAATTAGGAATCAAAGGACCTGGGAAATAGGCTAGTTATAGCATTAGCTGTGGATAATCAAGAGCTGACTGAAGCTAACATTTTTACCAATAGGAAAAACAATACAAATTCTTTCCCCCGACATTCAAAGTCACTCTCCTATACATACATCCATTAAAAAAAAAATACATACACAAGCACATTTCTTGGACAGGCAAGCCAGTTTCAAAACTTAAAATGTACACAAGCATATTAATATAAGTTATCATGCAAACCATGAAAAACATAGTGTACAATTCAGTCCTGAAGGAGCTACCTTTAAGGAAGAATAAAGAATCAGCAGAAAAGTGTCTGCAAGAAACCAAGACAAAGGCTAAAAGGAGAAAGAAGCAAATAGAAACCATCACCTGGAGAAATCTAGAGAGTGAGGCTGTAATAATGTAAGTTGCTCTTTACTGACAACTTACCTAAAAAAGATAGTTATTAGCACTTGCATTGTTCTTAGATGTACATATTTTATTATCATTCTACGAGTTACAGATTTACCACCTTTCATTACTTAGCTGGATTCATTTCTAATTATTTTCACATTCATTACCTCATTAAGTCCTCACAACTCTGAGAGACTGGCAGGACATGGAAGTCACCCTCATTTTAAAAATGAGGAAACTAAAGAACAGGAGTTAAGTAACTTTCGAAAAGACAAAGAGCAGTATTAATGTTAAAGATAAAGTTAATATTTGTTGGTAGCAGGAGAGGGGGACTACTATAGTTAAAGGGCCACCAGAAGTTTTACTTCAATGTTACTACATTTCTTTTATAGATTGACCTATTACATGAAGAATTACTTTATGAAACTAGAAAACATTATAAAACTGTAGACGGTATTAGCACCAGATATTCTACATAAGAGAATGGAAAATGTTCAGATGCAGGCTCAAATGAAACCCAGAATTAAAAAATAAAATAGAACAGTCCTTTGGAATAATAAAAGAACAAGCAAATCAATATAAAAGTGAAAAAAACTTAAAGAATACAAAATAGCTAATAAATACATATTTAATACTGAATTCTCCAACAACTAAACAAATGTGAAATTAAAGCAAGAAGATTCCATTTTTTTCCTATTTTCAAGTTCAAAATAATGTAGTGATTTAGACTAAGGAATTACCAATATGAATGCATAAGATATATAAATATTAACACATATATGTAAAGATTTTCTATGTAGTGTTGTTTCTAATAATAATAAAATGGAAACTAAATATTCATCAATAATAGCAGGATACATAAATTAAGGAGGATCCATATAATGGAACACAATACAGACTTTGAAAAGAATAAGAAAGATTTATGGGTATTGTATATTATGTGTATGTGCACAGGTATGTGTGTATTATTTTTAAACTTGGAGAGCTGTCCATGATATACTGTTTTGTAAAAAATAAGCTGCAGAATTAACATATAGTAAGATTTTTTAACTCACAAAAATAATCAAAGGTATATATATTTAATTACATATATATTGTGTAATTACATGTATATTGTACAAGCATAGAAAACAAAAAAAGATATACATTAACATCCAGGCAATGGAGTAGAAGAAGAATGAGACCTTCACTTTCTACTCTATACATTTATGTTGTCAGAATTTGTTAGAATAAACATATTAACTTTGTATACAAATGTATTTTTAAATGGTTAACAAAAATAACATGACATGAAGAAGAGCACAGTCTATTTTCTAAAATAGTTACAGAAAAACAAAACAGCAGAAACCATTGAAAATTTACAAAACATTTATTCATAGCACAAACATATCAACAACATATAAACAAATATAAGAGAAAACTATACAACTATAATAATCCATAATTTGGAGGTAGCGCAAAGTCATAAAATACATTTTGCCAAGGTTTTCGATGGGCCGACTAATATGCACCAGGGAGCCAAAACCGGTTTGGCTCAGTGGATAGAGCGTAGGCCTGCGGACTGAAAGGTCCCAGGTTCGATTCCGGTCAAGGGCATGTACCTGGGTTGCGGGCACATCCCCCATAGGAGATGTGCAGGAGGCAGCTGATTGATGTTTCTCTCTCATCGATGTTTCTAACTCTCTATGTCTCTCCCTTCCTCTGTAAAAAATCAATAAAATATATTTTAAAAAAATATGCACCAGGGAGTCAGCATATAGAAATTATAAGATTTTTTTATCTTAATAAAAGATTAATATCCTATATTACAAAAAAGATTGATAACTCTGGAAAAATGTTTAAATGCTCACAAATGTCAAGTGATACCACAGGAAGTGCTGGGGTTTTTGTGTGGTTTTCTTTTTGTATTTTAAATAGAAATGTTAAGTGATGGCATAAAGAGTTCACTACTAAAATAAAAATAATTGTCACATAAGTTTCCAATGATTAAAATGTTCAACACAATCTACTTTATTATGGAATGGAGAGCAACAGATGTATTTACAATGTAAAACCATTGATAATCACCAAATTGTTATCATCATATATAATATGCCTTCAGAATACAGCTGGCATATTTGAAAACTTACTTTCAAATAAGAGGCATATGAAGGAACCCACATATGCTCTGAATATTTGACTAAGAGAGCTGGGGAAGCTGCCCTTGCATCATGTCCCCTGGTGTAAGTAACCTTTTTTCTCAGGCAAAGAAGAGCTCAAGGAGGCAGTTAAGTATTTGGATTTCATAAAACTATTTCGCTTGCTACAGAGAGGAGGGAACACTATTTTTCTTATTAAAAATTTAAGTGCTTAAGCAGAATTTTTGTCTACAATTAAGTCAGAATGCCAATGTTAAAAGGGAAATGCAAAAAAAAAGATTTGTATCTAAGATTTCGTAGATATATAAGAAGTATAATTCTCTAAGTTCAGAAAACTTAGATCTATGCATAGATCAAAAAAAGAACAGTCAAAAGAAAAAAAAGAAAGTACCAATAGCTATCTTTTCTTTCAAGGACAAGTAGCAGCCTAATAATTTTACAGAGTCTGATTCTCTGAGTTAAAAAAGCCTTTTAAGATCATTTAGTTCATCTCTCTAGCATTTTTATCTTTTCCCCAAACCCTGAGCATATGCATGTTTCAGCGACAGCAAATACATTCCAGAGTTATCACATTTATCTCAGGACAGCTATTAGCAATTTCTTCTTTATTACTAAATAAAACAATTGTTTTCGTGTATTTTCTATTCGCTACTTCTTAATTTTACCTTAGTCAACAAGTCTAAGTCCCTCTTCCTTGAAATGGTCCTTTAACTATCTGAAGGCAATCATCATAGCTCGCTGTGTCGCTTCTTCTCCAACCAGGACACTTCTGGTTGCTTTGGCCATTCCTCATAGGACATGGTCTCACGACCTTTAAAGCCTCTAGGTCAGGTACCTTCTGATCATACACTATCTATTCTGTTTAAATCCCTTTTAAAATGTATTTTCTTTCTATTTCAATCATAAAGCCAAATTTTATAAAACTTAAACATTACAGATATGCATAAATGGCAATTAGAAAGTCTATAATTCCACGCCTCAGAAATAAATACTGTCAAAAATTCTACCATTTTCCCCTACACATACTGATACTATTATATACTATCTTTATATATAGGATCATCCTTGATATACTATTTTATAGCATGCTTTTTTTCAATAGCAATATGTTTTAGACATCCTTCCATATCGGGACATAGAGCTCTACCTCATTTTAATATTTAACAAGATTATTCTACCACATAGATATCCAGAGAGAGAGTTTAGTTATTATTCATAGTTTGCTAATATAAACAATATTCCAGGGAATGTCCTTGT